TCCCAGAATTCCTCAGCCGCTGAGGAATTCTGGGAGTTGAAGTCCACAAGTCTTAAAGTTGTCAAGGTCGGACACCCCTGGTTTAAATGGTGTTCAGGATTTTAAAACTTAAATTAAAAATGGGCACCCTAATTTATCCTGTGCAATTATTTAATAATTTTAATTTATCCTTTCACCAACAGCAAGGCTCACAAATAAAATCTCTTGGCACATACATAAAGCGGCATTTTACCAATGCTGAGTTTTACTTCTGTGCATCAAAAGTTTAAAAGAGAGCAAGATAAGGAACTAAAAGAGCAACTATCCTTCTTTACTTAGTAATAGGGGACAGCATGCTTGGGGGTAGGACTGGAGGGAAGATGTCAACAGTGTTTGTCTCACTCTTTAGAATCAGAATTCCAATAGCTTGTTAGTAATGAATATCCAAGGCACCTTCAGATTGCCTGAAGATACATACTTCAAGGATAGAAGAGAATACAGGGTCAACCGAACTCCACATACAAAAGTGGAAAAGAAACCACAGGTAGTCCTCAGTTCAAGGTTATTATGCTGTTGAAAAAGTAACTTACAACCATTGCATGGTTATATGTCATGCAATCAGCATGTAGGCTTTTTGCAAACGATGGGCATTTAATCTGTCACAATATTCCATGCTTATGTGATTGCCATTTACGCATTTGCTACAAACAGCCAGAGTCAATGGAAAAGCCAGCAGCACAGTTGCAAGTCATGGTTATGTGATATCTCATTTAACCATCATGGGTATTCGTTTAATACACGGGGAAGAAGTAAGGTTGTTAAGTTCATTGTGATCATGTGATATCTCACAACAGTCACATCACTTAATGATAAAATTTGGCAGTCCCAATTTTAGTCATTAAGTGAGGACTACCTGTATTTATAAACCTTTTCAGTTGAAAAGTTAGAAGCATTCAAATTAGAGATGACTAAAAATGTGCACAAAAAAAATGAATACATCAGAATTCTACAAAGTTCATCTCACCAAAAGGCAACTGTTTAATGTATGAGGGGGTGGAGTGTCCCTACACAAAATACTTCAATCTACATTCAGTCATAAACAATTGAATTAATGTCAAGCCTGATCCATATTTTTCACGGATGGCAAAATGCTTATCAAAAGTGACTGCTGCTTGTTAAAACACAATAGCCAAACATTATGGAAATCAGAATTTTTATTCACCAAAGCAGTTTAACTTTTATTTAATGTCTGGTGTACTCTGGTCCAGGAAAATTATTACTTTGTACAGATTTTTTTTAAACTGAACAAACCCCAATATTAAAGTATTTATTAGGTTATTAACCTGCTCCTGTGGTGGGGATCGAAATTCTTTCGTTTTCTTGGCTGTCAGAGCTGCAGACATATTTAAAGCCTGCATAACTTCATTATATCGGAAACGCTGATTTTCTTGAAGTTTTGCTACAAAATCATCTGAAAATGCTACAATGGCTTCTATTCTGTGGCGTATCTGGAAGTCACACAGATATTGGAGTAAATGGCACATCTGAAATAAAATTAATAGAACAAAACAAATGAGGTAACATAGTTTTAAAACTACAATTTCAAATATGGGGTATTCCTTTTATTTGACTTGGGTCATTTCTCTTTTTTAATACAACCCATGTCCATTGTCATCTGTTTCTATTTTTAAAACCTTTTATTCTCTCCATTTCAAAACACTGAAAAATTCAATTTTCTACCCTTATCTTTCCCTCAGCTTAAAATTTTAATTTCCTTTTGACTACATTATTTGTGATTAATGTATTATTTATTGCATATTGACAGTTTTATTCTGTCAATTTTTTTCTTCTAAACATTCTTCTCAATATGCATATTGTAAATATTCTTTTCTATTTGTATCCACTTTTGTCAATATCTAGAACCTTTTCTTAAATTGCCAACCCAAATTTTTCTTTGTTTATGTTTGTATGTATAAAGGGACATAAATGTGTCTCAAGTAGAAAAATAATCCATAAAATATATTAACTATGCATTATTTCATGATTACCTGTAATTTGACGGGCTCAGGAAGCTTCATTTGAAGAAGTCCTTCTTCTGGAACCTTCTCTCTTCTGATTTTATCCACAGCTGTTTCTAAATTTAGACTTTCTGTAACTAGTTCCTTTGCTAATATTCGAGTTTTATCTTCATGGCCTTTATCTTCTTTAAACACACTGGTCTCAATGAGCTGCAAGATATGCTTCAGATCTTCATTGTGGAAGACTCCCATTATAAGAAGGGTATAAAAAAGCTTGATCAAAGGAACAAACAGAAATTCTGTAGTACCACCTACTGGATCTCTGACATGTAGGCTACCCTCCTGAACTGCTTCTGTCAACATCTCTATGGTTTTAGACTTTAAAATTTCTAAAGGAAATTCAGGACTATATTGGTAGCACTCACTATTAATTCTCACAAAACTGGGAGAAGAAAACTGTATTCTGGGTCGTAAAGATGTACTAAGCCCGATACCTGGTAGGCCATGTTTTTTGTGTTCATCAGGAAACAAAGTAATGCTTTTAGTCTCATCTGTCATTGGGACAATGAATTCATTGTTCATCATCAACCTTGCAGTGGCATAGCTATTAAGGTGAATATCAATGAGAAGATCATAATAGCCCGCACGTAACAAGCCTGGCATGTATTTGTTCTCAATTGCATAGAGAAGCTGAGATTCATCAACATGGCTGCACATAGCATGTGCAACTCTGTTATTCCCAAGAGCACAAACTGCTGAGTATAGCCTGAGAGTATGATAATGAAACTTTAGCAGTTCTTCTTGTTCTGACAGTTCTAAAATATCTATAGACCTGCAATAAAAAAAGGAAAATAATTAAACATAGCAGATTTGAGGTTTTTTGTGTAGAAAATGCTTTTACATCCATACAATCAGCTTTCTAAAAACAAGTTCACAATTATTATCTTACCAATAAGTCAGTCAATTGATAAGGCTTACAATCTAGTGAACACATTTACATATGCAAACATGGAAGCAAGCTTAGTTAGACTTTCAACTATTTCCAAATTAGCTTTCTAAGCGACTAAGTATAACTCTTTATAGAGTAATTAAAAATTTTCACCAAGAATTTAGCTTCTCTCTTAGCACTTTGATGTATTCAGTAACTATACCTAACAATTGTTAGATAATATTATTTATCCTTTGGAATTAAAGACACAGTCTTCTACTGGGAATAACCATGACTAATAGAAGATGACATCTTTTGCAAAGAAAGACTTAAAGGTATTTCCTGTGATTGAAGAACATTAGTTGAAGGAAGCAAAAATAGATTATGGGAAGGTATCTAGAAAGTAACAGGCTGTTAGTTCATGGCCTTAGCCATGAAAGGCAGCTGAGTGACTTTGAGACAGTCATTCTCTCTCAATCCAACCTACCTCATAGGGGTAGGTTATTTTGTGGGGAAATAGGAGGAAGAAGTTGTGTTGGATATATTCACTGCCTTAAGTTATTTATACGAATAATGAAGGTGAGATATACAAAATAAAAAAGTAAAATAAAATACAGGTGATAAATAGTATTGATGTAAACTAGATTTACCTAGTTTCAATTTTCTTTTCCTATTGCCCTCCTTCCCTTTGCATATTTGATAGTATTTTATGAATATATATTAACATATCATTTTTTCCAGATATTTAATTTACCATATACGTAAGATCAACATCTTATCTCATTTCATCTGTAAATGCAACCAAGCTGTACCTGTTTTCCTCTGGAATGTGAAGGGACATGAACTGCAAAGACTCCAGGCACTGCATTGACCAGCCCTGCCGTTCATTGATCCGTGATATATCAATCTTCAGAAACTGATTTGGTACTCTGCTCCAAAGAACATGGGTCAAAAACTGAACATGGAGACGAGGTGGACATTGAGGAAGTGGATTTTTGTGCTCGCTTTTGAACAAGCCAGCTGACAACGGCATTACATTCTGAAAACAGAGCAAAACAGTAAATGCAGTAAAACCGTACTGCAATAAATGCAGTAAACTGGGGGGGGCGGGGGGGAGATAAACTCAATCATTCATATACATAAATATATGTGTGTATGTATGTATACACACACACACACACACACGAATGAAATGGTCATTATTCATAAATTGGGAGAATAGGTTGCATACCTGCAACTGTGTTTGAACTGTCATCTTATGCATTCATACATAAAGATCATTCTGTGAAAATGTAACAAATATAACAAACATTCTAGAGGATGAGATGGAAAGGGGAAGAGTACAAAAAAAAAAAAAGTTGACTGATGTGAATGTCCAAAGTTAGTTTTGACAGAAATGCCACAATTCAACTATAACTACTCTGTCAGTATGAAAATATAGAGATCTATGCAAACAGTATATGGTTTCCTAGCCAATGTGATTTTAATAGTCCATTATCCATGGATGCTAGCGATTCAAAAAGTTGCAGAGGCTTCTTGGATGAGAAGCGAAATGTCTTCAAAGAAAAATCAGAAAATCCAGTTGCCTCTTGAAAAAACACCTTTGGGACAATCATGACCTGGATGACTTGAGAATCTCCATAGACAGGAGCACCATGGTTTCTTAGGGAGTAGGCAGTTCATTCTGAGACAAAAGCCCAAAATAAGAAATTGTGTAGTCCTAAACTTGAATGGGGGAGGGTGGAATAGGTTCAGGGAAACCACATTCTAAAATCTCTCTTGGGTTAGAAGATTATAGATTTAGTCTGGCAAGATCCAGTCATTCATACTTTTAAAAAGGTAAAAGGACTCTATTGGATTCCATTGTGTCATCTTTGGACTTGGGCCTGATATTGCATGGAAGGAAAACCATTGTCCTATAGTCCCAATGAACTCAGGGACTGTGTGTATATATAAAAATATTAATGCTGGCACAGAATCAAACCTTTCCATGAACTGAAGAGTATCAACGGAAGAACATATTTGTGGCTTAGAGTTGAATTGTGGGGTCCTTCGTGCTCTCTGAGTTTGGTTGTTTTCTTGTAGACATTTCATTCTCCAGGGTTACCTAGTTGGATAATGAAACATCTGTAACAAAACAACTAAGCTCAGGGAACACCAAGAATGCCTCTAAAGAGTATATGAAACATGATAACAAAATCTGGTTTGGAACGAAGCTATCAATAACCAGACTATGTAATGTATAACATCATATTCTTCTGTGCCATTTGGCAGGGTTGGATCTTTGGAAAAAATATTTTGAAATTATTTTAGTTGTTCTATTCCGAGAAGATGCCAGGCTCTACTTTGACACTTGATATCCAATGGTATCACATTGAACTCCACTTTATTCCCATGTTGTGAAGTATCTGCATGAAATTATTTAGCTTTTCCAAAAAGCTTTTTCTGAAAAGGATTGTACTGTTCCAACAAAACCAGGTTCACAGATTAGGAATTTCAGCTGTGGCTTGGAGTTTTGTTTTCAGTATTAAAATTAGTATATCAATTGTGATCTTCCTGAGCATATAAAACATATGATTATCATACCCTGATAACAATATATCTTAATTATTGAAATATGTTTTATATAGGACAATCCTTGAAAAGTGTCTGAACATTGCTTGTAGTAGAAAAAACAGCAACCAATCTGCTGATCAGTACAAAATATAAATGTGATATATTTCTTCTGTGAGATTCCTAGTCTTCCTTTATTTAGGAAGATACTTTTAAAAAGCCACTCATTTGCTAAATTTTTATTTATAATGTTTGATTTTAATTATTTTTAAAATTGCATGTTTTGTCATATGTACAGGAATAAGAGTGGCAAAACCTGGGGCAGAGTTTAAAAAAAGGATTATCTCTACATAGCCACAAATAAATTAAATACAACCTCTCTTGAATTCTGTTGACCCTTATCTAATCACAAGCAGATGTTAACCATCAGTTGAAAAGATTCTTGGGTATGATTAACAATAAATCAGTTTAATTGGACCTTCACTGTGGCTCTGATCTTTCATGTCTGACAATAAGCCACTATGAGGGATAGAATTAAGGAAAGGCATACATTCAAGTATAAACACGTAACTAATGTCAGAGAGTACTTTGGTGATAATCTCACTCCTACAAATGCATTTATTCTGATTAAAGTCTGAAAATTGAACAATAAAATAAACAGCTATGGTTGTGTGACTAACTACTTCTTCAATAAAAGAAGTCAAATTCTAATTCATATCAGTGTAGTCATAAAATATCCCAGTGTGACTTTGGATAATGAGATGGTCAGCAGATAAATTTAATATATAACAATAAAAAAGCTGATCTGCCAGATGCCCAATAGATAAAAGTATGACTTATGTCTTGGTAGTGTAGTGCTATTCCAAAACAGATACTTTAATTAGGTCTATCACAGGGGTCCCCAACCACCGGGCCACGGACCGGTACCGGTCCGTGGAACATTTCCTACCAGGCTGCCGGTTTGCTGGGCGCCACCATCTTGTTTGACGAGAAAGTGCTTCCGGGTGAGCTTTTCTGGTTGGAAAGTGGCGATTGGGTCCTGAAGGAATCCTTGCGCCTTAGTTTCATTGAAGGGGGTGGCTTCAAACGAAACTAAGGCGTGAGGATTCTTTCAGCACCCAAGGCAAGGTGAGCTGAGCGACCATCCCGAAGCCGTCCCGAAGCGAAGCCCATCAACAAAGGTACAAAGGAGGAGTTGAAGGTGGTGGGGAGAAGCGGGGGACGGCTGGCTGGCTGGTCGCTCGGCTCACCTTGCCTTGTCATGCGTGCTGATGCCGGTACCAGGCCGCAGATCATTTTGTGATGCCGGTACCGGGCCGTGGCACAAAAAAGGTTGGGGGCCACTGGTCTATCATACATTGGTGATACTGGAATTTATGAAGTCTTTTTCTTTTTAGAGATTACTTTCTCACACTTTCAGAAACCTTCTCTGTTTTTAGTTTTCTTGTTCAAAGAGCACAAAACTTATACACCCATCATTTTTTTCTCTTGTTTTCATATAAAACCAGACCTTGGCAGGGTTTCTATGGTCATAAAAGATAAATGGGAGATCTAAGAGAGAAGGGAATACATTGGGCTATGATTTTGTTACTGATTTTGTATATAACTCTATATTTACTCAATGTTTTTCTGTCAGTATAGATGATGGATGATGATGAAGTGAGAAAGGAAATGTCCACATTCCTACCACTGGGTAAAGAAAAATTTATCCCACTTTTATTACTATTGCAAAAAGTTCGAACTAGAGTATCAGGAATGTTTTAAATACAGTAAACTAAATGGGTGATAGTTACCTTTATTCGTCCCAACTCAAATTGGAAAACGTTTGGGCTTGTGGCTTGTGCAAATACTGCAGGGAATAATTTAGTACTTGGCTCCACCTAAGTAAAAAACAAATAGAAAAAAATAGTATGTCAAAGTAGGTATAAAGATAGTTTGCAGACAAGAACGTTATTAACCTAAGCATTTGCCACAATAAAGTTGTAAATCTTTCATAAACTACCATCTAAAGCTAAAATTGGGGGAAATTACTATTTCCTTTTAAAATATAATAAACATTAAGAAACTAATCAGATTTTGTTGGGCAACCTATAACCAAAAAAAATGCATTACCTGATAATAAGTGCTTAACTCTTTGCCATTGGTAGTGAAGGATAGGATACCAGTTGCAGCATCAACTAAGCAACCAATCTCTAATCCATTATTATTGCGTCCTTGCCCTGGACTCATGCTTTCTCCGGCACATACCATATAGCAGTTGCTTCGTTTAATACTGCATTTCAAAAGGTTGATAAAAGGTTAATATTACAAGGCAAGTTCCCAAACTCCATTAGGCTCTGCCATGTCTGTGATCTATCGAGTTCTCTTCAATATTAAAAAATATATTTGCTCACCAATGGGAAATTCCCACTAATACATGTGCAGAGCATTTCCAAACAGAGAGAAGATAAAGCAGCATAGTTTTCTAAGAGTAATGCATCTAAATTACATGATGACAGTTTTAATGTGTTTTTCTTTAAACCTGCTAATCATGAGACAATTTGTCATATAGTTACTAATAAATACTGTAAGCAAGCAATTAAGCAAATAAATACATGCAGATCAAATTAGACTTATTTCACAGCAATTGTTGTCAATGACTCAATGAATGCTTAACTCACATGTATTACAATAGGACTTCACAGAGAGCTAGGTCTAGGATTAGGATTCTTATCCAATACTCAATCCATTCTTGATGAAGTTAGAAACAATGGCTAGATTGAGGTTTTTTCCATAAACCTATCTGGCATATTTAGATTTACATTTAATTTTAAAAATAAACAATAGATGAATATTAATACATTTCATAAGCAGACATAATGATGACTACAAAGTTGCATATCTTTCTCCAAAGGCCATCTCTCCTAGACTAAATCAAACCACCTAGTAGGGCTGTATTACTATTATCATTCTCATCTTTCCTACTACCTATTTCCTTAGCTTCTTATGATTATTACTTTTTGTTTGTATCTTATGACTTAGGTTGATTGATTTTATTTAGTGTCCTATTATGATTTATGCTGATTGCTCATTTAGTATTCTATGACTATCACTGAGTATTGTATCTTATGATTTATGATGATTGTATTTTATGATTATGATCATGACTTGTTGTATGTACATTGAGAGCTTATGCTCTGGAGACAAATTCTTTGTATGTCCAATCACACATGGTCAATAAAGAATTCTATTCCAACCTGTTCTATAAATAGAAGGGAGGATGGAGAGAGCTATTGTGGCCTAAACCAAAATGCACACTACCCTCTCATTTGAGAGGGCTATGATTGGGATATTATGCTACTATGACTGTCTGTAAAGTTACAGAGAGATGTATTTCTTAGTCATGCTAGAATAGGATAGAGTTATAATGTCCAGGAAACTAGCACTTAAATACACTTCTATTACAGAGACTAAAATATAACTTTTGGATTCCACATTTAAAATTCTTGAAATGTGATAATTGTATTTTGCTCACAATTTGGTTTGAGTTGCAAAATAAATGTAAATCTTCATTCCAATGAAGCCCCTTAATATTGAGTTTCAGGGCTATATAATTGTATGCTAACAGAAGGAAAACTTCATTTTAAAAAATGGAGTACCCATCAAATGAAATATAGCGTAATATAATATTCATGTTAACATAAATAATTAATATGCATGATATCAATTTTAATAAATATTGCAATTTTAACTGGATAATATATTCACTGACTTGATGGAATGATTTGATATCAATTGTTCCTAAACAAAAATAAATAAATAAAGCCAACCTCTCATGAACTTTCCCTTTTTCATCTCCTAGGGTTACTGTAACAGTACGGACTCTGTCCAAATCAAAGCTTGTATCATATTGATGGAAATCAGATGTAATCCAGCCTACCCAAACATTAGCAGGTTCTTGTCCAGGAAATATACGTACAGAGTAATAATACTGTCAAGACATAAAAATATAACCCACAATATTAATATTTCACTTTGATCCAGTACTATCCTGATTTTTTTCCTGAAAAGTCCATCTTGTTCTGAAAATAATACCAAACTCAGAAGCTTAAGTAATTGCTAGAAGCAAAAATAGAATCTCTAGGACCATGTAAAAGTCAGAATCTTATCATTAATGTTTCTCCCAGTTTCTTCCCTATTAATTTACAGAAAATTTTGCTTTCTCATATAATAGGAGATATATACAAATGCCTAAATTTTACTCTATGAATCGTTCAATGAGGGAAATGACAGTTTCTAAATATGATATTAGAAAGAAAGAAAAGAAAAGAAAAGAAAAGAAAAGAAAAGAAAAGAAAAGAAGAAAGAAAGAAAGAAAGAAAGAAAGAAAGAAAGAAAGAAAGAAAGAAAGAAAGAAAGAAAGAAAGAAAGAAAGAAAGAAAGAAATGCTTTTCGGGCTTGTGGAAGTTATACCTCTCTTCTAGGGATTCATTTATCTTGGACAATCAGGAAAAAAGTTGATCCTGGTAACATGCTTGTTGATTCCTAATGCTGGCTCCACAGGTGGCAGAGCATCACCTGAAAGCTCTTCACTAACCTTTTGGTACTTACCTAAGTTCCACATGTTAGTTATTTGTTTTGCAAACAGTTAAATTCTGAGACCAACAGACAATGCAATTTTTTTCAGCAGAAGTTACCATAGCTCTTGTGCTAAGTGCAATCATTTAATAATTTATTCTTAATTAGGTTGTTGGAGCTAAGTCTCTATTCCAGTGATGGCGAACCTTTTTGATCCTGAAACGGGAGCACGTGCGCGCGTAACAGAAACCAAAAGAATAGCTCCCTGGCGCAGCACACGTGAGTGCCAGAAACTGGAAGCTCAGCTTTCTGGTGTGTACATGCACGCCAGCCACCTGGTCTTCCAGTTTCTAATTGGCATGCATGCGTGAAGACCAGCTGGCCGGCACATGCATGTGTACCAGGGAGCTGGTCTTCAGATTTCCGGTGCTCCCACATGCGCAAAGGCCAGCTGTGTTTTTCTAATGATTTGCAAAAATTCCAGAAGGGGCATGTTTTGGGCTTTCCCTACATCAGAAAAAATAAAAATAAAAAATAACTACTAATGGCTTATTTATTTTTACCTTTCTGTTCCTAAATACATTTTTCATTAATATGAGTAGTCCTTGACTTTCAACCATTCTTTTAGTGATTGTTCAATAGCACTGAACAAAGTGACTTATGACTAGTTCTCACACATGTTATGTGATCAAACTTCGGGTGCTTGGCAACTGGTATCTAGTTACAATGATTGCAAGTGTTCTGGGGTCCTGGGATTATCATTTGCAACCTCCCTAAAGCGTTTCTGACAACCAAAGTGAACAACAGAACCCAGATTAACTTGATGACCACATGATTAAGAACTATTGCAAAAAAGTCATAAAATTAGCATACTATTTTTTTTAATTTCATGGTGTCGCATATTCTTAATTTGATCTGTTTGATATGTTATATCAAATGCACTTAAAATATCCATATTCTTTTGCTTATAGAAGCTATTGACAGTTATGGCAGCTTTTTAAAAGGTAAAACGTTATTTAACAGTAATACTGTGGTAAAATAATAATTTGTTCTACAAAATTTTCAGTGCCTATATGGCAGGATTGAGGTTCGCAAATATGGATGAAAATCATCACCTGAAATAAATCAACTAGCCTCAAATATATTGCTTATCACTTCCAGATATGTTGATGCTACCTGGAAAGATGGCATAAGTAAGGAAGATGACCTTAATGGAAATAAGCAAAAACCATTACATAGACAAATGGGAAAGAAGATAATATTTGGAAGTGGCTCAGGCAGGTGTCTCCTCAATTCATGGAGGTATAAGAAGGATAGGCCATGGGAGGAGGGCGGGGAACAGCATAATCAGATCTGTAACATTCTGTTATTGTAATTAATTTCAATAAAGGTACTTTAAAATTTTCTGATATAGTCTACCAAGTGGGACTAACTCATGTTCCTGCAAAATCAAACTGAGGATATGGACTGCTTTATTAGACATTTATATTAGTCATTTATAAATATATTATAAATGAAAATTTATTCCCATGAAATATTAGTTTAAGCTTCCAGCTTAACAACAAGTCTTTAAGACAAGTCCAATCATTTCTGTTCCATAGAGATATGCCGTTAATATATAATATTGTTCTATCATATTTGATAATTTTAATTTATCCTTAATGGAAATATGAACACTAAATTGTCATACTGTAGAGGTTTGCATTAGATAATCATAATCATCTCTTTCATCTGCTAGGACATCTTCAGTCAGTCTTGCAGAATGGCTTGTGCTATAGTCTGGCTTCGTCCTTTTCAGCATAAATCTGTATTGTATAAAAATGAAAAAGAGTGAATACATCTTTTTTATATCAGTTGATTCAGAATAATTCTGTATCTTTCATCGACTAAGGCTGAATTTAAAGCTATCAAGATATTCACTCAATTCAAACTGGCCCTTTTTTACACACTGGGTCAAAGTGTACAGTTGTTAATATCAGATAATATCTTTCAGGGTCAGGACAGCAAGTATCTCTTTACATTTGCAGACTTATAGTTGTTAAACATTTTATACAAATTTGTTTATGTTTCATTTATATTTCATGAACAGAAATGCTGGAACATAGAGAAAGCAAAAATTTAAAAACAGAAATTGCTATCCTTTTTATTCAGGAGACATCACAATGAAATTCATTGACAATATGGCAAGAAAAACATTGATTTGTATCCTTCAAAGTAAACAGTGTGTGAAACAGTTTGAAGAGATCAAACTATCTGACCTTTGCTTGAGGCGTGAAGGTTTCTCTTGTGTATAATCTTTGTGGTTATTGAACTCAGATTTTGCAGCTTCTTTTTCCCCACGGTCAGGTACAAGATGACCATGAGCAGTCTTCATGAGAACTTCAAAATCAGAATCTGCATCATAATCATCCAAATCACTCTTTGGGCCAAAAAGATTAGAATTTGGCATTCCTCCTCCAGGCATTTTAGAAAACACTTCTGCACATTCAATGGGCATGCTTAGACGATAAAACATGATGTCTGTTTTGCTATTTTGAGATCCAAAGGACTTCTGTGTGACTTTCAAGCATGGTGAACTATCTGCAGTTCCATCAATCCTTGTAACCTATGAAGTGCAAAAACTCAATTGTAAAATGTATGGAAACATAAAACAAAATGTTGTCTTTACTTATGCTTAATGGTTTCTTACAGTATATAAATAAATATATGTTTATTCTTGTCCTCTGTAATATTGTGACAGGTGTGATGAAATGTAGGTTTGACTCAGAGAAGGGGCAGGAGAATGAAGCACCATTACAGAAAAGATATGAATTCTACAAAACTAGAAAATGTGAAAAAGAGCCTGATATTAGATTAATACACAACTCTGTTTTAATTACATTAGATATAGGTTAGAATCAGGCTTTGACAAGCATTCAAGATTCTGTTTTAATATGCTGATTGCATTAGAGTACATTCTAAGACCCTTAATGATTCCTGTTTCTGAACTTGTCTATCTTGAAGCAAGATAAAATTACTTACTAAAATATTTCTTGTAGAGAGTAAGAGACATAATTTCAGCCTATTGCTTTTAATTTTTTTACTAACCTAATATTGGACTCTGAAAGACAACATTTTGTTATAAAAATATGTAGGTGGATTAAGAATTATTTATGGATACGAATAAAAATTCTGCTTTTTCTCTTTAACTCGAAGTCTTTGGGCTTACAGTTAAGAAATATGCTAGTTTATCTCTTTAATTTTACATTCTACATTTTAAGGTAAATATGTAGACAGGATAATAATATAGTATTATTATTATTATAAAATAATAATAATGAATCATTCCATATATTTGACAGCATGTACATACACATATATATTTGTTTTCTTAAGTTTCCACGGGTATTTATATGTATGGTATTCAGCTCTGTTCAGGTATTTTCCCATGTCATTATAGTTGTGCTTTTAAAGTTGTAGCAACGTTTCAGCAGAATCTCATCTGCCATCATCAGGCTTGCGTATTGTGTTCGTCTGTGAGTCAGGCTTTCACAGCTGTTTCTGTTTTAAATTTGGTGCTAGCCTACTGCTGTGCCAGAATGTTTTTTTTTTCTTCATCCTGATTGATTGGGAGTCTTGGACTGTGTTTATTGGTCTTGGAGTTTGCTGTGTTCTGCTTGATTGGTGTTTCTAATATCTTCTGACTGTTTTGTGGCTTTTTTTGTCTTGACTGGCTGGCAACATTGTGTTTCCTGTTTTGGAGGCTTTTAGTGCGGCTTGGCTTCGGGTAAACGGATGGCTATCATTTATTAGGAAGCTAGGTTTCATCTGGGTGCCTGGTTGGGGTGTGTTTGAGCTGGGGATATCTGGGGGCATCTGTCTGTGCCCAGGTGTTTGCTTGGCTTGTGGTGTGGAGATTTTTTTTTTAGCCTTTTTTGTGAGCCTGCACTCACAAACAAAAAATTATCCAATTATAAATATATAATTTTAAGGATGTCAAATATATGGAATGATTCATCATTATTATTATGTGTGCATACGCACACTGTCAGCATTCCAGCAAACCTCTATTCCAATCAGTAACTTCAAGACAAACATATCAAAAGTGACCTTTATGAGAATACCACCTGGAACATCTGTGGAATCTCAAATCTAAAAGTTCTTGGGCTTTCCACTATTTCCCAAACTACGAATCCATCCCCCCCCGGTCGTCATCACATCACATGGCCCAATCACAATCCATCCAAAAGTAAGATCCTTATTTCATCCTGCGCCATACTAAATGACCTTGAACTAACAAAAGAATTTTATTTTGTCTACTTAGAGTTACTTAATTGAAATCACTCCCCCTCCCACTTTCTCAGGTTATGTGGCAGCGTGGAATAGGGCTTCCAAAGCTCACACACACACACATACATATACACACACATACATACTACATACTAGATTAACTGCTACCACTTACTATGTTCAATCTCCAAAATAAATTAAAGATTCAAACCTCAATATGTTCATGATTTGCTGGTACTGGAAGAAACTGAGGTAATCTCTTGCTCAGCCATATAGTAATGTCACGATTTGTATTCACAGCAAAAGGTTCATAGCCTTCTTGTAAGCCACAAATAGTGAAATATTTCAAAGTGCTAACATCTTTGCCAAAGTTCATTCTGCCCACCTGTGACAATCCCAGGCTACAGGCAGGTATAAAGCCTGCAAAAGTGACATATATGATATGTAAATAATAAATATTAACAACTGTTCACATGTACTTAATTTGCTTTTTCCTTATAAACTAGACAACTCCAATCAAGTCTTTAAAACACACAATATATTCCACTGATATGAATAAGAAAATATGCAGTTTGTTGTGGTACTGTTGAGTACAGAGGATAAAATAAGTGGGAGAAGGAAACGATACTATTGTTAGAGTCTGCAACCAATTATCCAACCAAAATTTCCTAATAGCAAGAGTAATTCAGTACTGAAATCAATTACCTACAATCATGGTGAGTTCTTTATTAATTCAGACTGGCTTGGACAAAAATCTATCAGAAATGGTTTAATCTGGATTCCTGCACTGAGCAGGCATGCAACTTTGATGGTCTAAATGGTCCCTTCTAATTCTATGTTTCTTTGAACAACACACCAGAAATATAAAAGAAGCCTTACTATACTCATTCATTCTCTAGCTGCACAAGTAATTGTTCAGCACCCCAAGCTCTTACAAATCTGTCCAGAAACCAGACCTTATCTATATGATAAAATCTAATGGATTTATCTATTGCCCTGGGCAGATTTACTATGGAAGAGGTCAGCTGCCTGCCCTGATGATATACAATTAAATCAGATGTAGGCAATGTCTGATAAGTCAAGGACCATAATTCAGCTTCTTGATCTTCTGAAGGACCACATACATCGTTGATACATTATGACATCCTCAGATGTGTGGTGCACTCTCTTTTCTGGACAAACTTAAGATAGAAGTTGTTAATGATTGTAACTACTGGAGCTCCCAAGACAAACTGACTGCATTTGTATACTTAAAACCATCCCAAACTAGCAGTTATTGTTGCACCAAAATCCAACCACTTTGCTACCACATTTCAATAACATAATCCCAGAATGCTGATGGTTCAGACATAGAATTCTTGAGATAAATCCTGTCTCTGAACCATAACCTTTGGTTGAAATAAACGAATGGCTGGTTTTAAAAACTTCTCTAAGACAGCAAAGAAAAACTTGCTAAGGCAGCCAGAAAGCAGCACAAATTTGCTCAAGAACTTACCATCACCAACCTCAAAATCTTTAAATGCAAGTTCAGAACCTGAGTCATCAAGAAGGATTTCACCATTTAGCGTAAACATCATGGTGTGCTCATTCAGATCTACCATGCATCCCACAATATCTGCTGTTAGCCAAGTACGGCCAAAATGCTCATTTCCCTGGTGCCATCTCTGGGCCTAGGTAATAAAGATTTCATAACATAAACTATTATTTTAGGATTCTTTAAAAATATTTAGCTCTATAAGTAGATATCAATTGTAAATCTTGCAATTAATAACATAAAAATATTTTTTAAAACACAACTGTGCCACAAGTTTCTAGAGAATCAGCAACATTCAACGTTTTTGGCAAATAATTTATATATTATTCTCAATAATCTTACTGTTACTCCTTTTAAAAAGAAAAAAGAGATCTCCATTATTTTAGAAGCAGTAAACCCCTCTCTTCCCAAGACATATGGACAACTGTGATAGTGACTCCGGTATGCCTAGAAGCTTGGACCAAATCAGGGGTGTCAAATTCAAGGCCTATGGGCCAGATCCGACCCACAGGGTGCTTCGATCTGGCCCACTGGGCTGCCTTGGAAACAGTGAAGGACCAGCCCTCAGTGCTTCTGCCATTGAAAACAGAGCTTGGAGGGCCACACACTGCCCTCCCAAGATCCGTTTTCAGCAGCCTCCTTCAACTCTCTGCCAGCAAAAACGAGCTTGGGTTGCATGTGGCCCTCCAGAGCTCAGATTTTACTGGCAGAGCGCTCAGGGCACCACAGGCACACTGACACGAGTGACATTGAGCTGGCCATACCACCCTGGCCACAATCACCACTACTACCCCGAGGTCAAACACAATCCTGATGTGTTCCATAATGAAATAGAGTTTGACACCCCTGGACTAGATCATCTGTAAGGTGCCTTCCAACCTTTACATTCACTATACTGCAGATTCCACTTATCGAAAGGACAAATCTCATAACATAGTTTTGTTATGTTTTAACACACAAATTACAATCCACTTGCCAAAACAATGCACTTATTAGATAATACCATACTTTATGGAAGGGGACATAAGGGCAAAAATGCTCATTTTTATTCTTTTTCCTATCTGAAATGTCAGGGAGGTTCAGAAAACCTACTAAAATCTACTACCCCAATGTTAGAATTGACAACAAATGTGTTTATCCCACACTAATTAAGTTTTATATATAATCTACTAGAGGCAGTACAGGTACTCAATTTACAAGCACAACTGAGTCCAACATTTATGTTACTAAGTAAGAAATTTGTTAAGCGAATTTTGCCCCATTTTACAACTTTCCTTGCCACATTTGTTATGCAAATCACTGCAGTTGTTAAATTAGTAACCCAGTTGTTATGTGAATCTGGTTTTCCCCATTGACTTTGCTTGCCAAAAGGTTGCAAAAGGTGACCACATGACCCCGGGACATCATAAATGTCAGTCTTCAAGCATCCAAATGTAAACCACATGACCACGGGGATGCTGCAATGGTCATAAGCATGAAAAATGGTCATAAGTCACTTTTTCAGTGCCGCTGTAACTTTGAAGAGTCCCTAAGTGAACTGTTCTAAGTCAAGGACTACCTATAACTCAGATGTAGATCTGTATCTAACCCTCTAAGTGTCAATTCAATTCTTTGAATGATAAGTCCTGAAGTTCTATGGAAAAACCAAGAGAGACACTGCAAGGCTGTCTCAAAAAAATGTACACGTACCTTGAAACCATCAAATACAAATGCTTGATCATCTGAGCCAAGCTCTTGCTCTGGCTGACAACCTGGTCTGGCCCAGCCAATTCTCATATCTCCAGCAGTTACTGCCTCAAATTCAAAGTACCACTTCCCAGTTTTTACAGCATATGTTTTTTCTGTTCGGAAAATCCTGAACCTTTCTATCATGCCATCAAGCACATCTGGCCTTGCAGCTGCAAAAGTTAAAAATTTAAGGATATATATATTTTATATCAAAATTAAATCACATTATCTAAATTTTTAAAAGTTTGGTATAGCTGTGGTACTAATAAAGGAGAATATTTGTAGCTCAGGGTTGAGGTGAGGGGTCTTTGGTGCTTTCTGAGCTTGCTTGTTTTCTTGCAGACATTTCATTACCCGAACTAGGTAACATCATCAGTGCTGATTTGAAAAGTTAGGGTCCTTTTTATCAGACTGGCAGCCAAAAGGAAAGGGAAGAAAAAGTGTTTTATTTTCTCAACAATTCTTCAAGCCTTAGCAAGCCTTAGAACCTTTTTACAAAATTCTTAAGTCCAATGTTTTCAAAAGAGAAAAAAAAAGTCAAATAATGGACAAAAGAACTACATTTACCCCTTTTTGAAATGGATTGAAACCTTAGCAGATTTGACATTATTTGTCCTGGTAGCCATTCACAAGTACAACCCAAGTGTGTTAGAATGAGACAAATTTTCTTTTGTTGATTAAATGCTTACTACATGTAAACATCCACTCTAGATTATGCCAACGTTATTTACTTTCCAAGGAAGGGGACTTCAAAAAAAAGAGAGGTCAACAAAGGAAATACTGATAATTACCTTGCTGTATTTCAAAAGGAATGCTCAAGGAACTGAGCTGAAGGAACAGCTTGCCTTCAAAAGTTGTGGGTGCTTCTCCATTGAAGGTTTTTAAGAAGAGACTGGACAGCCACTTGTCTCAAATTGTGTAGGGTCTCCTGCTTGAGCAAGAGTTGGACTAGAAGACCTCCAAGGCCCCATCCAACTCTCTACTCTAATTGATTGATAGAAATATTTTAACGGAGCATTTGGATGGAGGGAGTTTCCTTTAAATATAAAGTTATGTGACTATCTGTATGTTGCCTTTTTTAACATATTTCCAGTGAGTTTTTTGGTCAATTTTATTATAATTGTTATTCTGTTTGGCAGTTTCAAAATTGTTAATGTTCTGTTTGACTCAAAAAAATATTAAAATAATTAGAAATATAAAAATAATTATGAATTTATTTGGGGAAGTTAGAGTACAATTAAAAATTAAAAATTGAACATTCTCACCTTCCTTGAATTAATAGCATATATAATAATATATTAAAAACTGTTTCAATATAATTTCAGTACCATGGTCTTGATCTGGAGCTTCAAGGTTATATCCATAGCTAATGAGAGTACGAACTGCTTCCCGGAGACTATCTTTGTTTGATTTCTTAGTGCGATCATCTAGAAGTGTATAGGGGACAAGGCGAGGATTTCGACGGTTCTTCACATCCTATACAATATAAACATTATGAAAGATAATTTAAAAGACTTTAACACCTCGTTTTTCTAATACTGTAAATAGATCTGCACCAACCTGGAAGGAAAAATCAAGTAGGTTCCTGAGGCTATTCAACACATTTAGGAACAGATAAAATGGCCCTTAACAAATATTCCTAATAGGGGGATTGGCCAATACTTTAAATAAAAACTCAATGTAAAACTAATTCAACAGGTGTGAATATTGGATCAAATTCTACAAGATGTTCAACTATTTGTGTGTGTATTTGTATGTATGTGCACAACTACATCTGTACCCAACTATTCAACTTTTCATAGTGTTAATTAACTATTACCAGTTATTAACTAATAAAATAACCCACTGTACATTCAGTAGGGCACTGTGGGGTATTTTATTAGCTAATAAATGGAATTGTTAGTGAGTTTACTGCAATTATGTTAGCAAGCTTAATATAATGCACAATGACATGTATCAATTGGTACTGTACAGTATCAATTTTTGCTTGACATTGGAAACATTATTGTGATGACACAATAGGGAAGGAGAGTTTGTTTTCCTCATTTTGTCCATATCTCCACTTTCGAAAGGTTTAGTTCTGAAAAATGCATCAATTAACTTGAAATCCAAAAAGTAAAACTCAATTATCTTGTTTGCCATTTGTCACACATTTAGTTCCATAATGAGTACTATAAAGATTCTAATATGTCTGAACTTACCTGTTGAATTCCATATGTCCAACCCTGTCTTATACGATCTCTTGCCCATACATTGTGAGCATTCTCTGCAAGTTTATCAACCATGGATTCCTGAGATGGAGTCAACTTGATACAACTTAGATCCATAGGAGCAGGTTTATATCCACTCAATAATAGATAACTGTTACAAAAATTAAAAGCTTTAATAAACTCTTATGAATTCTTATGAATTTTTATGAATATAAAAACTTAAGCCTTGATCATTGCATTGTTTTGGCATTAAATCTTATTAGATTCAGATCATTCATTTCCTTGTACTGGAATTAGTAATCAGTACAATAATTTAGGAATCAAAATCCAAATTCCAAAATGTATAGGCCTTAGAAATGAAATCATATGTAAATTAAAACTGTTTTCATATACATAAATATGCAGGTCTTGGCGTATTCAGGTCTTTTCCGTGTAAGATTGAGAGTATCTTGGCGACGTTTCGACGAGGTCCCACTCACCATCTTCAGGCTGGTGCTTTCGGCTTCATGCTTTGCCAGCAAAGCGTAATCGGAGCTGCCGTCTCTCTAGAAATACTGGTGGGGAGGTGTGGTGTGCTGGCTCTGTTGTAAGTGGGCTGGTTGGCTTACAACAGAGCCAGCACACCACACCTCCCCACCAGTATTTATAGAGAGATGGCAGCCCTGATCACACTTTGCTCGCACAAGCACGAAGCCGAAAGCACCAGCCTGAAGATGGCGAGTGGAACCTCGTCAAAACGTCGCCAAGATACTCTCAATCTTACATGGGAAAAGACCCAAACATGCCAAGACCTGAATACCTGTACCCATGAAAATCTATGAAAACATACATAAATACACACACACACACACACACACACACACACACAATTTTAATTTACATATAATTTCATTTCTAAGGCCTATACATGTTGGAATTTGGATTTTGATTCCTAAATTATTGTACTGACTACTAATTCCAGTACAAGGAAATGAATGATCCGAATCTAATAAGATTTAATGCCAAAACATACTACAATTTTTGGTCTGAAACACATCAATTTCCTGACTCTTTCCTAATATACCACATTACATCACTTTCCTAATATACCACATTAATTTTTGTTTATTTCCAGATGGAATTTTTATTATGCAAATATACTGCCTCATACTTAGAATCATATGGAGGTTCAGATATCTTCAATTTGTATATTAATAGACAGAGTATAGGAGATAGAGTAGGCATATTTGCATTCTCATTCCATAATAGTCTGACTTTAAACTTACTTTTTGGGAAGTTTTAGTTTCTTCACCTTTTCTTCAGCATGTTCATCAGCAATTCCAACATGACAACCTAATGCCAGCAATGTTCTAAAAGACAAAACCATTATATCTAAAGTAATTAAAATCAAGCAAAATATACTAACTGAATGACAAGGCTAGAGTTCCTTGTGCAATTTTAAAATTACACGATTGTAACTATTATAGTTACAATTGTAACTATTATAGTTACAATTGTAACTATTATAGTTACAATTGTAATTATTATGGTTACATGATGGGAAGAGTTTTGTCTTTTCTTATTTTGCTCATATTTTTGAAAACTATTATCAATCTTGATTTCAGAGCTATGATATCTTATTGTAGATTTTCCTATTCAAATTCGCATATGAAACTATTTGCTGTCCAGATTTATACTATATGTATTTTTTTCTCTTCCATTTATATAATGTATAATTACTGATAAATATTTAAAAAGTAACAAATATGAGTGCTTTGTAATTCTCATCAAAAATGAAAGTTGAGTACCTAATATTGTATGAGTAATCAGCATATAGCAAAGGAAATTACTTGTAAATATGCATATTTCTATTTACGCAATCCAAAAAATTAACGAGTGCCTTGCTAATCCTATTATCGCGTAAACCAAATTTCATAATCTATTAAGAATTCATACATTCATATAAATTTACTTGCAAAAATATAAACATACTTCAGACTTACTTTAATGTTTCTAGTGACATCTGAAGATTATAATTCCGTTCTTGTTCAGGCAGTTTAGCAAACTCTACCAAACAGGGATGCTGTCGCTTGTTGTCATCTCTAATCTGTAAAACAGGATTTCAGTTTATCCTATAATTATAGCCTAAAAGGATCAATTTTGGAGTAGACTTTCCCTGCAAAAAACCCCTAAATCCACACAAAAACATATTTGTGCATTACTTTTTCCACTCTTAATCAAATGTGCAATTTTTAGCTCTTGGATTTTAGCTGATTGTTCCTTTCGTACTAGAACCAGAGAGAAATACTGATTGTGGCAATATTTCAAGAGAGTCTGTATAATATGGTGACAAAAAGGCAAGATGGTGGCCACAACAGGTACAACAGAAGCTCCACCTGTTTTTTATGTGTCACATATATGATGTTCATAAAATACAGATTGAGCTTTAATTGCCCTGTTTTAGCCACTATCTTAACTTTTTGGATCACATTAGGTGGATGCCCTTGATCGGATTTATTTCTGTGTAATTTTTTAAATTATATTTATTACATTATGCAAAACTCATTAGAAATACTCATTTAGTATTTAGGGAGTAAAAAATACTTCCAAATTATATAAATAAGCATATATAAATAGAATAGAATAGAATAGAATAGAATAGAATAGAATAGAATAGAATAGAATAGAATAGAATAGAATAGAATAGAATAGAATAACAGGGTTGGAAGGGACCTTGGAGTTCTTCTAGTCCAACCCCCTGCCTAGGCAGCAAACCCTACACCACTTCAGACAAATGGTTATCCAACATCTTTTTAAAAATTTCCAGTGCTGGAGCATTCACAACTTCTGGAGACAAGTTATTCCACTGATTAATTGTTCTAACTGTCAGGAAATTTTTCCTTAGTTCTAAGTTGCTTCTCTCCTTGATTAGTTTGCACCCAATTAATTAAACGCTAAATTTAGTATTGTACATACTGGTCCATACTGCCATCCAAGTTCGATTTTATTCATCACCCAAAGTTCATGGATATTCTCAGCTAGTTTTTCTCTGATTCTTTCCAGATGTGGAGGTAATACAATCTAAAAATAGAAGAGTGAATCTGTTAAAAAAATAAATGGCAAACAGTACAATTAAGAAAAAAAACAAACCAATGAAATAATTATACCAATCATTTTGTGGGCTTATTTTTTACTGATTAAAATTTCCACTGCCAAAAAGAAAACCCAGTGAACTAATTGAAATTTACCTTTGAGTAGAAATGTAAAGGACTGAATTGTAAATATCTTAATGCCACATGTACAGTACTGTATATAACTTGTTTATTTTAACAAAAATATTTTTCTACCTTTCAGTTATAGTTAGATGGTGAAAAAATTAAAAATCCAATTATTTCAGCCTCTTTATAATTTGTAGCAACACTGTTCCATTTTTAAAAAAATCTATCATCTATCATACCTATTTTCTGCAGAATTAAGAAAACGAGATTCAAAATATAACTGCAAGAAATTGCAAATAAAATTGTCATTCTCCACTAAACCAACTCTATTCATGAACTTAACACTGTTCATCAGCATAGTTCTTCTATTAATAAAATAGCAGAATAAAAATTATTTAAAACTGCCAGACAGTATTGTCACTCAGATGCTTTATCTTAAGCACTTACCCAATATACATCTTATCAGGGGACACTTTTGTGTCTATTTTTATAGCTATCAAATGCATTCACTCCTTTCAGCAATGATGTAATGTGCATGTAAGAAATGTGCATTTTGATCTCATGCAGAAAGCTTCACCATTATGGCCTTGCATCACAATTTTGCATGCAAGCAAGCACATGTTGTGCATTTTGCATCTTAATGTTTGTATTGTCATTTCCCACCCCCTGGATATTGAGACCAATACAACCATGATGTAGAATAGATTCATATTAATGGAACAATCATTGAACTACATTTGACATATTTAAAATGTTAAATATAAATGTTATAAATAAATGTGTTTGTCTGATATGACCTTAAGCATAAAATCTGACTTTGTGGATTCACTTATACAGCAATCAAAATGATTGGGGCTGTGGACGTGTGTTCTGTCATTTTAAATATTGATGATATTGATATAACAATACTTTTAGCAGTCACATGGGGCTTGTCATCCAACCTACTCCTAGTTTTAACATAATATAAATTAAATCTAATGCGTGTTTAAAGTCAATGTACATTTTACATACCTGACTGGTATCAACAGGTACTGGAGTGAATGCTGCTTGTGACAAAGAGATATTTGGTCCCAAGAGATCCCTTGAGCAATTGCAATCTTGTTTATATTCCCTGCTGGGTTCCACTTTTAACTTTTCTTTGGGCAGAATAGCTTCAAAACATGGAGCATATCCTGGAGGGGGAAGAAATTTAAATTCCCCATGGCGGCCTCCAAGCAAAAATCGTACTCTGTAAGATAAGTACAATGTGACAGACTCTATATTAATTAAATACAATATTTCTTGCAAAGTTTTACTTGCAGATGCTGAATTTGAGCAGCTTTTATAAAACTTTAGGTTCTTTTGTGCTGTAAATTTCCTAAATTGTCTGTAATTAATTTACTTTCTTGTTCACCTTGATAGAATTTACCTTTACCTGGGATTTAGTTTGTTATTTTCATATGTCATGTACTTTGGAATAATGCTAATAAAATTGTGTGCATATTTACTTGTAATTGAACTTCACTATGCTCAGTAGGTCCTTAATCCTTAGAATAACAAGTTAAATGGTTTAAATAATTTACTTAATTTTGGATTAAATTAGAACTGATAACTGACAAAAACACAGAGACCATCATTATCACTAAATTGTTAAAACAGTTGCAATAGTATAACAATAAAAAGTTAATGGAGGAGGGGGCAGAAGGGGAAGAGGAAGAAGGGGAAGGGAAAGAAGAAGGGGAAAAAGAAGGAGGGGGGAGGAGGAGATATTATCTATCTCTTGATTCTTCTTCTTTCCTTCCTCTTTTATATTTTTCCTAGCAGAGAAACCATAACAATTTCAAAAAACCAATGCCCCTTCAAATTTAATCAGTTCTCAAATTAGTATAGTCCCTACCAATTTAAAGATACCTACACTCTCTACATCTGCTTTTAATAAAAAGTTACAATGTCAACAGTCACTAATCTAGATTAGACTTTAGCAAAGAAAATAATTGGATGAAGATACGAACTTTATCCCTGCTGAAAAGCTGACAACCGGAAAGAAAAGACCATCTGTGTTGAAATTCTCAAACATTCCCTGCACTGGCTGCCCATTTATTCGGAATGAAATGCTTGGAGCACTCAGATCAAGGCAACAGCTGATGACATCATCAGTCCTGAGTAGATGATGATTAGGAGAATTGACTGATTTTGCTACACAACCTATAATTAGGAATGAATATTAGAGAAAAATTGAAGATCCTAATATTAAAGCTATTTCCAAAGATCTCAAAAGCACATTGAGAAACACAAAACTGCATAATAGATAGACTAACTCAGTATCAATTCTTCTAAGTCAGGGGTGCCTCAATTTCATATAGGAATCTTTCTCTTATTGCACCATATGTAAGAACAGAATCTGGGACTTTCTACTTGTGATACAGTTGTTTCAAACCTTCTATAGCTATCCTCTATAACTCTTTCATTTAAAACCTAACTTGCAATATCTTAAGCTGTAAGCAATTAATCTTACCTGACCATAGATGAAGTCCATCAAAACCATAAGAATATAAGTCATCACCAACACCATTGCCACCCCATTCTTCTCCACCCACAGGATATGGTGAATAGCCTTCTGTTGATGCCCAACCTACACGAAGGTGAGTAGCTTCTGCTGTTGTAAATGGCTCCACATAATCAACCATTAATTCGTAATACCATTTCCTGTATTGAGCAGAGCCCTCGTTGATTCCAAGGAAAATATTTGGTCTCATGCTGAATACAAACAAAGTAATATATTTTAAAAAATCAGTTTAAAAAAAAATCACAAAATTGATTTTTTTAAAAAGCAAATTACCAACTTTTTAATGCTCAGTTCTTCTACACCAAACAAGTTCTAATAAAAATAATATTATAGAAGGGCTTGCATATATGTGCTCATTATAAATACATATACATGAGCATTAAAAATAATATCCTATTCCATTTTTTACCTGCTCACATGATTGACAAGGCGAGTTTGAAGAAGAAGATCTCTCCCTGGCAGAAGATTATCACAGATCAAATGTTGATTGGATCGCACAGCTACTCCATGACATACACACAATGAACAAAGAACATCTAATACCTTGGGAAAAAATGACGTAGAGGTTGTTATGGAAGTTTTAAGTCATTAGAGCTTCTATATATCAAAAAATTAAATATGCTTCATTGTTATCTTAAATTTTATGTTCTACTTATAAAACTTATATTAACCACATAGATTATTAAAATAAATTCATGTTTCTCTTGTATACCTTATGGTTTCTGCCATGTTTGTCCAAAAGACAAATGATTGATTTAATATGTCCTTCTTTAATAATATTCAATGCTTCTGGACTTTCCACCAACACACAGTGTAATACTTCAAGAATTCCTAAAAATATAGAAGCCCCATTTTAGTATTTATCTCTTTATATTCTTTCAAAAACATACAATAAAGAACAGTCATAATAATCTAAGAATGATCATAATAATCCCTTTTCTTCTATAATTATTGTAAGAGTCAACAGAAATAAATAAAATAAAACAACAATGACAACATCGTTGCTGTTGTTTTCATATTGAATTAACTTGCATTCCTAAGAAAATGCTTCTTATACTAATCTTGATAAGCATGATTATTTGAGAATAACATAAAAGATTAGCCAATTAACATAAGCTGCTTTCATGTGTAATGATAAACTTGGAATGAGAACTCATATCTCCGCAATTTCAAGTAGCCCTCAGTTTCTACTATAGCTTCTCTATTGTTGCTTTGTTTTACAACAGATTTAAATAAATGAAATGTTTGATTTGAAATAAATCAAATATTTTACCAATTGTCAAGAAGATTCTGAAAGATTGTCAAGAATTAATTGGGTTTTTAAATTTTGTTGTTTTATTTTGTTTTTGTTCAGGAGCTACTAAATACAGTACTTGTTGATTAGCATTCTGAGGAAAATAACCAATTTAGCAGATAAGAACATTCAAACTGTATTACCCAAGCGGAATGAAATTATGTGAAGAAAAACACCTTTTAGTTTGTGGGATTAAAATCAATATTATGAAAATGAAGTATCAAGAATGATAAATATTTTGAAAGCAATGCCTATGTTAGTTTCAGATGAATACTTTAAATAGACAGATACATTACTGGGATACTTTTTTCCTTGTTTTAACTGTCTTATGATGATAGCAATGGTTTTAATTTTCATGATCTATCAGTCTCAATCAAGTATTGAATGGAAATTATATTTACTACATACCACTGCAGGCTCAGCTTGAGAGTTATTATTTAGCACTATTGCAGACTTGGTAAGTTTTTGGTTCTAATTGTAATAGGGATTTGGTAACTCTTGGGTTCAATTGGACTGAAAATTTAAATGTGATTTTTTTCCCTCTGATGAGACATTGATAATTAGTAGCAATATTTAATTAAAAATGGCTGGTGTTTTTATGGAAAATGTAGTCTTATAATGAGATCATTACATTACATCAACTATTAAGTAATGCTATTTTTTAAAAGTTCTTAAATTTTGCAAATAAAATATAGTTTATGTAGAAACCATAGGTTGAATAGTGATACATATAGTTAAGATATGCCCTATATATAGTGTTTGGCCATGATGCTCATAGGGCCTCCGATACTTTGAAGTACGTGTCTAAGAAGTACTTTAATAAAAATGTGTTATGCAATTAGATATTTTGTGAACATTTTTACATTTTTTCCAAAAGAAAATAGGAAAATTCTCCATAGCACTATTATATATTTTTTCATTGCAAAAAGTTTTTGCCGTAGTTATATTATACTTTTTTCTTGTTCATTACTCAGAATATCTTCTAATAGACAGGTAGACTGATCAGTTCATTTAATAAATAAATTAAAACAAATTAAATATCATCAAAGATGCAAAAACTCTCAGCAGCAGATGAAATAGTACAACTCATACACTACATGTTAAAATCTCTCATATCCATAAACAAATTATGCATCTGATTTTTATGAGATGTTTTTATTTATTGCATTTACTTCATGCCACAATCTGACAACTCTCAATTTTATTTTATATTACTTAAACATCTTTCTGTTTAAAACAATGCTCCATGTTAATTTTTCCCCCTAAATCCAAAATACAGTCTATAGTTCAGCTGTAACTAATTGAAAAACAGCTGTCATTACTAAGCTGCAACTAGACCAATCTGAATTGCAGGGCAGAAATCATCAATTTGGTTAAAATGCCAAGTGTTGTTGGGTTCCTAATTGATCTAACCATTGCTATTTAAGTTCCTTTAAAGATAAATTATTAAATTATTTATAAACTAAGATCTAATTCACTTTTAACTTAAGTATCATGCTTAAAACATCGTAGGTGTTTGAGAAACAAGAATAAAAAAATCTACTGATATTTACTATATATGATAGAAAATATATCAGTTATTCAGTTAGTAATAATGTCTTTCATCATGGGTGGCTGAAAACACTAAGCAGGGGCAGATGCTAAGCAGTGGAAATAAGAACCAAAATTAATAAGAATTTTCATCACTAGCACTTGGAATTCCATTCCCTCCCTTTTTCTGCTCCTTGATTTTCATTTCCTTTTTCATTTCTTTTCCATGTAGTATTTGAAAGTAACCAGGGTATTTCTGGACTGTAAGTTAAATTGGGACTACAAAACACTTTATCTCAGAAGAAAGAACACAAAAATGAACCATCATTTCAAGGCTATGGTCAAGAATACTATACAAAACATATCTTGAACCTCCCCAGGAGCAGAGCTCAACGTAAGCGAATTTCTATCTTTTTAACCTGTGAGATACACATGCCAAGAAAAATATCAGACCATAAAAGGAAGTTTCTGTGTACAACACAATATCCCAAACAAACCTGGATCAGATTATATAGGCACCAAACAAAACAAAACAATTTTTTTGGCAAAATTTGTATCAGATTCACAAACAACAGCTTTTCAATTCCCGTTTGTAGGTACCCAAGGGATCATTATTAAATTAGTTCTATGCCAAATATTTCATACTGTATTCTGGAAGAAGAACCCATGAATTCAAATATACATCATAATGTCAAGAAACATACCAGAAGATGCTTCCAATCTCTCCAGCCTACTAATCAGCCAATCAAGAGATCCAGAGAACTGAGCACAATTTTTACGATTCCCTCTAATCAAAGCCGCTAGGAATAAATAATAGATAAACTCTTAATTTAGAAATCCTCACATTCACTGGCTGAAATCATCATATAGTATTTTGACCCAAATTGGAGTTTACCGAGCTAGCATACATTATAATTAAGATTAGAAAATATTCTATGAAAAGCACTAATTATATTTGGACTCTTATAAATGATAGCAATATTGATGCATGCTTAATAGTTAGCTATGAAATCCAGAGATCGGGTATTCCTCCACTTACAACAGTTCATTTAGTGAACATTCAAAGTTACAACGGCACTGAAAAAAAGTGACGTATGACCATTTTTCACACTCACAACTGTTGCAGCATCCCCATAGTTGTGTGATCAAAATTCAGACACTTGGCAAAGTCAATGGGGAAGCCACATTTCCTTAACAACTGTGTTACTAACTTAACAACTGCAATGAGTCACTTAACAGTCACAGCAAGCAATATTGTAAAATGAGGCAAAACTCACTTAACAGCGGTCTTGCTTAGCAACATAAATTTTGGGCTCAATTATGATCATAATATAAGGATAACTGTACCTAAGCTAAATATCAAATTACAGCTCTTATTTTGTTGGAATACAGAGATATTTGAAAACTTTACTCATTATAATATTCTTTAGCTAAACTGGCCAGAGATTTATCATAAAAAAATTTAAACTCAAAGTTATGCTACATTATGCTATACTACCTTACACTATGCTACACGATGGCATTATGTAATGGAATCAAATTAAGATCTGAGAGTGTAGTAGAATCAAAGAATTTACCACACAGGGTTTTTTTTTAATCAGCAGGAAGTATCCACATTTAATTTAGTTCACATGAAAGGAAAAACAATCTTATATTTTGAATCTACCACTTAACACAAATACAATTGTACATATATCATAAGTACACTGCAATTTTGGTATAAACTACAGTCTAAACAAGGGTGCACTTGGACATCTGAAATTCTTTATCATACACAATAAAATATATTTTCCATAAATCATAAAATTTCAACATCCCAGGGTTTTTAGCACATATATTTGTGTGTGTTTAGATGTTATTAATCTCAGTTGCTCGAAGGTATGTCTTACCTAATAATTCATACAGTGAATTTAGAATAGATTTCCAAGTTTCTCCTGCTTCCTTTCCAGCTACATCAGCAAAATGAGCTGCACTGCTGTACACATGTAAGCGATCAATACATTCAAGTACTAAATTGATCATACCCTATAACAAAAGAGGTATTTATTCTCAATCATTTTGTATTTTTCATAAAATGAATATACATAAACACATACACACAACACATATAGTGTTAAAAATCTCTGAGCTTTTTTTCATATGTGGTATTATATACACACTTACACTTTCACTTAGGTAATATGTAGGTAATAAAGGAACAGATCTTTGGGGAAACAAACGGTCCCAAGAAGCAGGAAAAGACACAGGTAAATATTGACTTATAAGTAGAACAGTCCAATCTTCATATATTTAGGAAAAAGTAAGTCATGTTGCATCAAGACAAAATCCATCTTTAAAACTGCAATTCTCCATAGATATTGTTTACCTAGCTTCTTAAAAGTACTCTATTTCTATATTAATTCCATCTCCATATGGTACTCAGTCTCACTGAGTCATATATTTTGCAAAACTAATATACTTCTAATATTCTGCATTTACAATCTTTTGAAGAATGTGCATATTATAGGCATCTTATATATCTCCTCATATTTTCCTGGAGCATTATGATGGAATGAGACCTAAAATGAGATTTAGCACTGTGTATGTGAGGTTTGAGCACGCATACTCTGTCATCCCACCTCACACTTTCCGTTTGCAGGTCTGCATGAAAAGCACTGAAATGTCTCACTTCATGTTTTAATTAGTTGTGGCTTATTACTGAATCCCAAAAGAACAAAGTGATTAATTTAAAAGGTGGGATACTGAAATAATACAAATCATTTAGCTTACGATATTAACTTGCTTGGTTCCAACAAATCATAGTGTAAATTAACTAACTTTCCACCAAGACATGATAAGACATTCTAATGGTAGTTTGAGCTTGTTTGTAATCTGTACTTGTAGCTTATTTGCTGATCTACAAATAACATTTAATGAAAGGAATGACAAACTTATTAAATCTTCAGAAGGTAAAGATGTTTTTTATTCTGACAAATTTTGCCTTGATTGGAACAAAAACCTGAATTTAAAAATCCTGTAGACGTTATACTAGAGGTGGTATTCAGCCGGTTCGCAGCGGTTCTGGCAATCCAGTAACAAGAATTTGGTGTGGGTTGCAGAACTGTTAGCGATTTCTGGCTTCTCCCCCGAACCGGTTCCCGGTCGCCCGAGTAGTCACCGCTCGCTAGCTTGCCCTGCCTGTCCTCTCGCTGCTCACTTGCCCTGCCCACCTGCTCGCTTGCCCCCCCACATGACGCTCAGCCTGCCCATCCCAAGCCACCCTATAAAAACCCTTCACCACATGGCCCTATCGCTTGCACATGCTAGTCTGCTCTGCAGCTGCCTGCCTAAGTTGATTTAGTCTTCTACTCTACTCTTCCCAACAGACCTTCCGGCCTCCTCCTGCCTACAGGACCAATAAGTACTGACTTGCTAGCCACACTCCATCCGGGCCTGGACCTAACTCCCGGCAGTCCTTCCCGCTGCCTGGCATCGCCCCGACCTTCAAGCCACCTCTGGAGGCCATGGCCTCCAACCTGGGGCCTGGCACAGCCAGCCAAGCCGCCACAATGGCTTGTGCCAGCTGCCGATGGCCCTGGATCGCCTTGCCACAGCCCACCCTCCTCCCAACCTTCCAGTCGCCTTTGGAGGCCATGGCCTCCAACCTGGGTCCTGGCGCAGCCGGCCAAGCCCCCATGATGGCTTGTGCCGGCTGCCGATGGCCCTGGATCGCCTTGCCACAGCCCGCCCTCCTCCCAACCTTCCAGTCGCCTTTGGAGGCCATGGCCTCCAACCGGGGTCCTGGCGCAGCCAGCCAAGCACCCACGATGGCTTGTGCCGGCTGCCGATGGCCCTGGGTCACCTTGCCACAGCGCGCCCTCCTCCCGACCTTCCAGTTGCCTTTGGAGGCCATGGCCTCCAACCTGGGTCCTGGCGCAGCCGGCCAAGCCTCCATGATGGCTTGTGCCGGCTGCCGAAGGCATCTGGATCACCTCACGACAGCCCGCCTTCTTCCCAATCTTCCAAGCCACCGCGATCGCCCACCCAAGGGCTTCTAAAAGCCCTCAGAGAAGCCTTTTTAAAAGAACCCACTTCCTTCCCACCTCCAGCCTCCAACAAGCACCTACGTCTTTCAGACGTCTTCTCCCAATTCCCGAACTGCTGCTGCAATCTCCTTCCTGCTCATTGGTGAGCAACTGATTCTCCCTGACTGCTTTCTTCAATTGGGTAAGTAAGTGGCATTTTTTTTCTACTTATTATTTAAATCAGGGCAGGGGTCTTCAAACTTGGCAAGCTTAAGACTTGTGGACTTCAACTCCCAGAATTCCCGAGCTAACATGACTGGAGGAGAGCTTCTGGGAATTGAAGTCCATAAGTCTTAAAGCTATCAAGTTTGAAATCCCTTGATTTAAAACAAGGGTCTTCAAACTTGGAGGAGGAATTCTGGGAGTTGAAGTCCACAAGTCTTAAAGCTATCAAGTTTGAAGACCCCTGATTTAAAAAAACAGTAAGTGTGTCAATTTTTTTCCCCAAAAAAATAGTCATATAAAATTTGGGAAATTTTAGCTGCTTTTCTATTTTTAGAAAGCAGCTGCTTTATGAGGTTGTCATTGTGTGTGTATGGAAGTTCTTTTACTTGTGTGAAATGTTATGTGCCTCTAAATTAAAGCTATATTTTTAGATTTTTCCAGCTGTATCTGTTTTGTGAGTGTGTGTATGTGTGTGTAGTTTTCAGTTGTGTAGGGAGTGTGTTTTCAGTTGTGTAGTTTTGTGGGTCTGCTGCCAATCCAGTTATGTTACGTGTCCTAGCATTTTTTGAAGTTGATGCTTGCAGCATGCAGGGCAGGTGACATTTTACATGAAGTCCAACTGCTTTTATGGTTTCTGAGAAAAGTAATAACTTGTTTTGGGTTATAACACTTCATCCTTATTAAAGCTGGTTTTAACACGTTGAGATTTCTGGAGCTGAGCCTGCTTGATGGGTTTGAAGTGTTCGTGATTGCCCCGCTTTTGTTCTTGCCTGGGTCTTTTGTCCTTCCTATCATGGTGGTTAATTCTGCCAGTTATCAGAAAAAGGGGACCTCCAGGTGAGTTATCTTAATAAGGGCTGTACTTTAGTGGTGCTTTTTGTTGTCTTGCTTGTCTGCCTGGGGGTTTCTTAAAGGCAGAAGGGCTGAGATTTCTGGTGTGAGGTTTTGGATCCTTGGGGGAACAAGCCAGGGTTTTTATTGCAGTGGCTTTGTCTGGGGATTAAGTAAAAAACTGGTGTTTATTTCCAGTATTTTTTTTTTGTGTGTGTGTGTATGTTTTCAAAGTTATCTACTCATTAACAATGATCAAATACTAATATTTGCTTATCCTTTTTACTGAAGTTTCCTTATATAATTGGTGTTTTCTTTTATATTTTTACATTTCTAACTTCTGTTTCTGTCAGTTAGCCATTGATAAGAGAAATCCCTTGCTAAAAAGTATTCTAACCCTTCTCCTTGATTGTAAATTTGTAATTGTTAATTTATTCATTTCTGCACAATCTAATACTTTAATTCATTTTCATATCTTTGTTTTTCCATTGTTGTGCAAACACAATTCTAGAAGCTGTTGTATGTGTAAAATTAAATGAATCCAACAAAATATTTCTGGTTTTAAATCCAGAATGCCCCCTGTTGGGATTTGATTTTGAGCTTGTATTCTGATTGTTTGTCAGACTCCCATGGGTCATGCAGGGGCAACTCTGTAGGCTGTCCTGAGTCCCAGATTTGGTTGAACCTTGCCTGATGATGATGTAATAAAAGGGCTTTGGGCAATTCCTAATATAGCTCTACCTGGAATAGATCTTTGTTATGTAAAATAGACTGGCCTAGGCCAGAGTAATGGCCCATTAGTAAAGATTGGGGGGGGCTGAGTTTTTGCCTCTCTTGAGTTTGTACTTTTCTTTTTAAGGGAAATATTCTACTTTTTAATATATCCTAAAATATTTCATTTTCCTAGGAGAGGGGTGGGTTTTACCTTCCAACAATGAAAAACTGTATCTTTCTTGTTTGTTGGACCCCATGCTGATAAGACTATACATTGTTGCTGGGTGAAAAAAGAGATTCCCTCCCAGTCACATGATCTCCAAGCCATGCCCAGCCAGTCACATGACTGCCAAGCCACACCCACCAAATAAGCCACACCCAGTCACATGACCCCTCCAGGCCACATCCACAAAATAGGCCACGACCACAGAACCGGTAGTAAAGAATTTGAATTCCACCACTGCATTATACTTCAAATTTAAAACATAAAACATTACTTTTTCCATAAAATAAACAAGACTGCTACCTCTTCTTGGAAGAGATTTTGTCGATTCTTCAGAGCTCTTAGTCGGTTCTGTTTGTCTTCATGCTCTAAGTGCTCATCTGGTGGGTGGAAGTAACCAATCAAGTCCTGAAGGCTAAGGCTGACTGATTCAATGGGTAAATCAACTATGGAAGACTTAGCTTTCTTGCTGACAGCATCAAGGCTCCTAAGGTTAATGTAAAAGTTCACTAATTAGACATATATTTTCATATGATTCTTAATGCTATCATTGCAATATACCAATTTAACCAGGTAATTAATAAATACATGTGTCTCAGTTTTAGTAAGGAACCAACACTAAGTAAAACAGCTGTACAAAGATCATCCAGTCCAATTCTGATCTACAGTTCTGGAAATAAACCAAGCAGTTTGTTCTGGAAGTAATCTAGTATAATGTAATGCCCAGATTGTGATTCAAAGAACTGGAACCCCCTTTCAAGATAATTCTTTTAAAATTTAGCATACCTTTATTGTTTTGGGACAGCAAAGTACTTTACATAAAGAAATCTTCATATAGTTTGGTATGGCTGACATAACACCATTCACATATCTCATGTTCAAGTAAAACAAATCCAAAATGGAATTTTGTGAAGATTCATGCACTCTTCTACTAAATAATCTTATCAAGCTGTTGGCTTCAGAATGTTAAATATGATAGAAAGAGGAAGTGAGAAAATAGTATATATGTATACCTTATGAACCTGTTGAAAAGAAAGACAGTGCTACGAATTACTCGTGCTGTACGTGATTCTTCATGCTGAGATCTGGATAATGTCAATCCATCATCCATATGGCCCTCATGGTGCATGATGGCCTGCAACAAAAAACCCAATGGAGAAAACAATGCTAATGCTTGATGAATCTTTTGTTCACCCTAATTCTATTTCTCTGGATATCTCAATCCAGGTCTATCAATTATTTATCAATGATGTATAGCAATTACTCACTCATTATCAATGATGTATAGCATCATCACTCTATGTCTTAAAGCTTACTCTTGAAAAGTGTAAAACTTATATACCCATTGTTTTATGTGAGATCTGCAAACATTGCTACCTCACTACAGAAATTAATGGACAAAATGCATACGTTGCCAGTTCAGTATAGGCAAATTCCTATATAACTATGAATTCATTGTCCAGCCAAATAATCCAGTCTTGAGATTAAAAACAAAATAGTTCTGAAGCATTCCCATATGCCAATTAAATAAACCCAAAACTGCTTCATTCTAGAATGAATTATGACCTATTTGGAATGGCAATTTATAGCTAACAATAGCAACCACTTCACAATTTGTGATTAAAACCTTTATTCCAGATAATGAGGTTTGGTCTTTGTGAGCTGCTTATAGGTGGACCCATATATAAGAAGAGTATCCTGCATACATCCTCTGATAATTTCATTTTGCATAATAGTATCTACTTGTCCTTCAAAAGACAACTTTTGCATTGGACAGTGAACCTTCTAAGATTTTCTTTCATGGAACAATTTTTGCTAAGTTCTTCTAAATGCATTCTCAGAGATACTAAGACCTCTGTATTTGTTGTTCTGAAATCCTGTACTTTTGCCAATTTATCAACCAAGTTTATCAAACATTTCCCCCCTTTTTTTCTGAATAAATAGCTAACTTATGAGTTTTATCTCACCAATTTGATTAATATGGGTTTGCATGTTTCCAAAGAAATTCCTTGTAATTTATATGAAAGATTTTTATCATTACTTCACTCCACTTTACAGGTAGTCCTCAACTTTCAGCAGTAACTGAGCCTGGCAATTATGGTTGTCATGGGTCATCACCTGACCTGACCACCCCAATTTTATGACCTTTTTGGCAGTGACTGTTAAGTGCTGTAGGGCACTGACTTCTGGAAACCAGAAGTAAAAGTTGGTTTCCAGCAAAAAAAAAAAACCAACATAATAACTTGCTGTCAGATGACCATGGGCAATGTCAGAACTTCAAAACTGAGTAGTAAGTTACAACAGTTGAGTCTGTTGTAATTTCACATAATCACTAAGTGAGCAGTTGTAATTTGAAGACTACCTGTAATACTTAGTCTATATTTCTTAAATCAAAGTCCATTGGTTTATTTTCTTTAATCATCCAGGTGTTTTGTTTACCTACACAGATCTAAGCAGTATTGTATGTTCAAATAATTTTTTTTCTACTAATGCATATCAGTTGACTTCAAACTAATTTCATAGTTGATACTGTGTACCTTCTGACTTTCCTGCTTTTTTGTTTTTTGCTTTATAAGAGTTACATGTTAGAATGTTGTTTTGAAAACAATGGCAGTAATCAAGCAGAAACTACAAAATATTTGGTGGAAATCGCTACAGAGTATTTGAGCCAAGCTCACGACAATGTTTTCTTATTGCCAAGACTGTTAAACATGCAAATATTTATAGGAAACTAGGGATATTTGTGGATTTCAAAGGTAGCGTCACTGATTAACTTTCTTTCTATTTACTTCTGCCAAAAATACACTCTTGCATATATTTTTTTTCCATTTAGCGTAACAGATTTTTACAATTATTTTCCGTAGTTTTGGAAATATCCTTTTTCCTCACATATTAGTTTACATAACTCTTACATTTTATAAAACAAGTAAAACATAATGCTAAGAAAAATGAGATAAATTTCTTTAGTTATTATTTTGCTAAACTCTAGTAAAAAGTCCTCATGTAATCAAAAAGTGTTTGTATCAATATAAATAAAATATAGGCAATCCTTGCTTAATTATTGCCCTGTTTAGCAACCAAAGTTATGACACCACTAATAAAGTAACTTTACAACCTGTCTTTGTACTTTCAGCCAACACAGAATCCCTGCATCACCTAATCACTATTTCAATGCTTTATAACCAACTTCCAAAAAAGCAGAATCAATTAGGAAGTTGGCAGTAAAATCACATCATGATCACATGAAGTCTTGCATAACAACTATAGTAGAAGTGAGGTCATAAATCTGTTATATCCTTGTGATGTCAGCTTAACAGCCACACCACTTAGTGAAGGAGTTGCCAGTTCCAATTGTAGTCATTAAGCAAGGGCTACCTGTATTTGCATTTCAGAAAGCATGCTAAGCAATTTACATATATATTTAAATAAGATTATATTAGACTAGATAGAATTCTTTATTGGCCAAGTGTGATTGGACAACAAGGAATTTGTCCTGGTGCAAATGCTCTCAGTATACATAAAAGAAAAGATACATTCGTCAAGAGTCAAGAATCATAAGGTACAACACTTAAAAATAGCCATAAGGTACAATAAGCAGTCAAATCATACTAGGAAACAGTCAATATAAATTTTAAGGATACAAGCAACAAAGTTACAGTCCTACAATCACAAGTGGGAGGGGATGGGTGATAAGGAGTGATGAGAAGATTAATAGTAATAGTAGTGCAGACTTTGTAAATAGTTGGACAGTGTTGAGGGAATTATTTGTTTAGCAGAGTGATGGCATTCAGGGAAAAACTGTCCTTGTGTCTAGTTGTTCTGGTGTGCAGTGCTCTATAGCATCATTTTGAGAGAAGGAGTTGAAACAGTTTATGTCCAGGATGTGACGGGTCTGTAAATATTTTCACAGCCCTCTTTTTAACTTGTGCAGTACTACAGGTCCTCGATTGAAGACAGGTTGGTAGTAATTGTTTTTTTCTGCAGTCCTAATTATCCTCTGAAGTCTAGTCTACAAAGAGGACCCTTGCATAGGTATTTGGAGATTCAAGGTGTTATAGGATGTAGTGCAGCGCCATATTAATAGCATCATCTGTCGATCTATTTGCTCAGTATGCAAACTGCATGGGATCTAACAGTGGATCCATGATGGTTTTCAGGTGGGACAGCACTAGCCTTTCAAAGATTTTCATAACTACCCATGTTAGATAAACTGCTCTGTAGTCATTCAGTTCCTTGATGGAGGGCTTCTTTGGCACTGGGATAATAGTAGAGCATTTGAAGTAAGAAGGAACATAGGACATCTCTAGTGAATTATTGAAGATTCAGGTGAAGATGGGGGACAATTGGTCAGCACAGACTTTTAAGCAAAGAGTTATCTTGTCTGGCCCTGGTGCTTTTCCTGGCTTTTGTCTGTGAAATAGATCTTGCACTTCTTTTTCTGTGATCACCAGAGGTTGTGAACCCAATGGGTTGGGGTCAATTGTAGGAGGCTTGGCTGTTGTTGGTGTGTTTGAGATGGGGGTTGTGGAGATAGGTGGCTGTAGTTTCCTTTCAAACCTGCAGTAAAACACATTCAGGTCATCTGCTAGTTGTTGATTTCCTTCTGCCTGGGAAGGAGGTTTGCTGTAGCCAGTGAGGTTTTTAAGGGTTTTCCACATGTTTGCTGGTTCATTTGTTGAGAACTGATTCCTTAACTTTTCAGAGTAGCTTCTTTTTACTGCTCTGATCTCTCTTGTTAATGTTTCTGCCCTGATTGTATAGCACTCTCTCAGCTTTTCTGTAGGCTTCCTCTTTGGAACGATACAGCTGCTTAAGTTTAGCTCTGGACCAAGGTTTATTGTTACTATATATTTGCACGTTCCTTGTTGGTACTTATAAGTCTTCACAGAAGCTGACATATGATATTACAGTATCTGTGAGCTCATCTAGGTCTGCAGTGGTATCTTCAAAAACATTACAATCAGTGCAGTCCAGGAAAAAGTTTGTCACATGAGCAAATAAAAAAGGAAACAGTGAATTATCTCATAAAGGCATGATCGAATAAAAGTTTAGTCAAATTTCTTTTTTTTTAATAGTGATACTATGATTTATAAATTTGTATTGATAATAAGAGTATTATATAAGGTAATTGTAATTGTGACTATGAGATGAATGCACAAAACTGATGGACCAACCGACTTACTGTTTGTATAAAAATATGGGGGAGCTGATGCTTTTATGTTTTGTTGTTGTGTTTGTATGTTAAAAAACAATAAAAAATTAAAAAAAAAAAAGGAAACAGTGAATATATGTTGTGTATAAATATATGAATATAAGCCTATAAAGGAAAATATCTGTAGCAGAGGTTTGAAATGAGGGGTTCTTGCTGCTCTTTGAGCTTGGTTATTTTCTTGCATGTGTTTCATTTCCCAAACTAGGTAACATAATCAGTACTAGTCACAATAGAATAGAAGCCTTCCAGTCCAAAAAACATCTGTTTGGGGGAATTGGGATTGAGCTCTTACATAGCAAGCAGTACCACTCCAAGATATAGTTCTAATGATAGTTGAATGACAAACACGTTGAATTGGGTTCTGGGTAAATTTTAAAATAACAGAATAGCAGAGTTGGAAGGGATCTTCTAGATCATCTAGTCCCTATACTATTTCTGACAAGTGGTTGTCCAGTCTCTTCTTGAAAGCTTCCAGTTATAAAGCACCCACAACTTTTGAGGGTAAGCTGTTTCATTGGTTGATTGTTCTCATGTCAGAAAATGTCTCCTTATTTCTGGGTTGAATCTCTCCTTGATCAGTTTCCATTCATTATTCCTCGCCTGGCCTTTGTGTGCTTTGGAAAATAGGTTGTCCCCACTCCTCTCTTTGACAGCCCCTCAAATATTGGAACACTGCTATTATGTCATTCCTGGTCTTTCTCTTCACTAGACGGCCATTCTCAGTTCCTGCAACCATTCTTCATATGTTTTAGCCTCCATGCCCCTAATCATCTTTGTTGCTCTTCTCTGTACTCTACTCTTCCTAGAATCTCAACATTCAACATCAATTTCCTTGTCACATCAAAGTTATATTTAATATAATAACCTTGTTTTAAACTCCTTACCTTTCGCTGCACAGATCCCATTCTTACAGACTTGGCATCCACTGATTGGTAGGTAAGCCACAAACCTGTATCTACATGCTGTATAAAGCAGACTGAATCTCCATACTTTATTTCTGGGGTTCCCATGCCATCCACTTCTTTTCTTATCCCTAAATCTAATTTCTCCTACAAAGATAAAGAAGCCAGTTGTTATCTACAAAAACATTTTGAAAGGTGAAAGGTTTTATTTCAACAGAAAATGGTAAGCATAATTAACATTACAAATGATAATGCTTAGTCTATAGCACAATATTAATTTCAATAGTACTTAAGCACACTTATTTTACAGATACAGGTAATCTTTAAAGAAAAAGCAACTACTCCAAGCACATAATAAATGTATATAGTTCTCTTTATTCCCATTTCATTATTGTGACTAATACTAATTCTGTGACTAAATTCTATAGTTCTTCTGTCTAAATCATTACATATTCATAATGTTAATGTTGTACTATACATACAAACTAGAATGTCAAAGTTACAAGCCAGTTTCCTACATCACAACTATGAATTCTTTTAATGACAAATTGAATAAACACCTGTGGTTTTGTTTATGTAGGTGTGATAAAATAGGGCACTCTTCAGTTTATGGTAATTTTTACAGGGAATGGCTCATGTACACATTTTTTTAAAAAACATTTGGTTTTGGCAATATTTTTCTAATAAACATGACTAATAAGATTGCTATTCCATCAAAAAGCTAGCACCTATTATATTTTAAGATTATTTTATCAATTCTTAGAACTTTTAAAACATGTAGCTATAAAATAAAATAGTACAGAGCTTTGTATTAAAGCTGATATATTTTAGTTGAGCCTACTGAAAAACAGTAGGCTAGAAAAAAGACCTGGAACATAAACATAAAAATTAATAATATTTTAAAATGTGATTTCTTATTGAAGAGTAACACCCATTTGATTTGATGGAGTTTATTTCAAATAAATTGGTATAAGATTATAGCCTGAAGTTATATATCTTTTCTCCAAAGCTTCTGGTAACTTTAATTAATAACAAGCACCTTCTTCATTCTGAACAAGTCAAGTATTTATCTAAACCCAATATTAAACCCAATGTCAGCAGTCCCAATCTTTGCAGCGTGGTGGCCTGGCTAAGGAGGTAGAGGGGAACTGGGCTGCGCAAGTGGTGGGCCAGTGCGCACACACATGCACACTTGACTCATGCAGTGGTCAGCACGCACGTGTGCACATGCACACACAGCTGCGGAAAGGCCAGTTGCGGATAGGCCACAGCCCTATAGTGGGCTGTGGGATGCGGACCCCTGCTGCACATAATAAAACAGGTGGATAATCAAAGAAAGAGGGAGGGAGGGAGGGAGGGAGGGAGGGAAGGAAGGAAGGAAGGAAGGAAGGAAGGAAGGAAGGAAGGAAGGAAGGAAGGAAGGAAAGGATATTTTTATCATAGTCAGACTATTCTTGGCAAACCAATATATCAAAAGTAAAACTTTTTGAAAATAAATATGTCAATTCCTTTTATAACATTTTCACCAACCCGATTTAAAGAAAATATAGAATTTTGAAGGTTATGACAGTGTTGAGGTGAGAGCCTTGATATTCATAGCAGTAGCTATTTGATAGACATTAAACAGATGATAGCTTTGTAGCTGCAAATATAAAAAGGCTGCCAAACTCTTGTTGGCCTCGAAAAAGCCTAGACATATGGAAAGTTTCCTGTGTGCTGCTATATAGTAATTATTATAGAAAAAAATGTTCTTACTCTCTGCAATAAAGCTACAATCTACTTGAGAATGCAGAGTTGAGCCAGTATTTTATAGCCATCAGCCCATACTCTGACCCAAGATTAAGCAAGATTGCAAATCACCAATTCCATCACATTGTGCCAGTATCATAATAAAGTTGCAACCAAAATGGAACAGTTAATCCAGATGATAAGGCCAATAAATGGAATAAATAAACAGAATGTACACTGTTTCCTACACATCCTACAGTTATTGCTTCTGTTGCTACCCTCCAACACCAAACCTATACCCCTCTCTCTACACCCCTCCTCATACCATGTAAACTGAGAGTTCTATTTTCTTCTTAAGAAATATTGCACCGATGCATGCAGGTTCTATGCTTATACTGTAGAGAAACTGGATATTTGTCCTGCTAAAACTCCCCCTTTCGAAATAACCACATTTTTGTCACATTTATTTATATGCAGGAGTTGCAAGCAGTTATTCAAAACACTACAGTTCTAGTAAAATGAGTCTGTATCAATTTCCAAAACCTCAGAGACAGTGGTACACACATATGGACTACTCTACTTGACCAGGGTAAAGCTAAAGACGCAATTTACATAGACTTCTGCAAAGGCTTTGATTCAGTGGTACACGACAAACTACTGTTAAAACTAAACTCTTACGGCATTTCCGGATCCGTCCATAAGTGGATTACTGCATTCCTGTCAAACAGGCAACAAATAGTAAAAATAGGGAGCGCTATATCAAACCCTGCTCCAGTTAACAGCGGTGTCCCCCAAGGCAGTGTTCTAGAACCCACACTCTTTATACTCTATATAAATGACCTTTGTGATCACCTTATAAGCAACTATGTCCTCTTTGCAGATGGCGTAAAATTATTCAACACCACTGACAATGCTACTGTCCTTCAAAGTGACCTTGATTATGTGTCTGAATGGTCAAACATCTGGCAACTCCAAATCTTGACCAACGAATGTTCTGTCCTACACATTGGTAAAAAAAAAAATCAGTACATCAAATACAAACTAGGCGGATATGACGTCATTGATGATCTTCACTCTCAAGGACCTTGGAGTTCTTATATCAAATGACCAAAGTGCCAGAGCTCACTGTAACAGCATTGCCAAAAAGGCATCAAGAGTTGTACATACATCTAATCTTACAAAGCTTCTTCTCCAGAAATATCAAATTGCTAACTAGAGCATACAAAACTTTTGCCAAACCAATACTCAAATACAGCTCATCAGTCTGGAATCCACACTGCATATCAGACGTTAATACAATCAAGCAAGTCCAGAAGTATTTCACAAGAAGAGTACTATACTCCTCTGCTCACAATAGAATACTCTATATCACCAGGCTAGAGATTTGGGGCTTGGACAACCTTGAACTACATCACCCACAGTTAGACTTAAGCGTAGCACACAAAATTATCTGCTACAGTGTCCTACCAGTCAATGACTACTTCAGCTTCAACCACAACAATACAAGAGCACACAACAGATACAAACTCAATGTAAACCGCTTCAAACTTGATTGCAGAAAGTACAATTTCAGCAACAGAGTGGTCAATGCCTGGAGCGTACTATCTGACTCTGTTGTTACATCCTCTAACTCTCACTCCTTTAACCTCAAACTATCCACTAATGACCTCACCCATTCCTAAGAGGCCTGCAAGGGGTGTGCATAAGTGCACCATCATGCCTACCATCCCTGTCCTATTGTCCCCATTTATTCGTACCTATTTCCTGTATTCTTACTCATGTTTATACTTATACTTATTATCTTATAAGCGATTGACAAATCAAATAAATAAATATTAAACATAGCTCAGACCTGCCAAGTTATGTACATATCTTCATTTAATCACTCCTCTATGCTAGAGACAGATGGACTCTGCATATTCTTCCAGAGTCCAGTGCTATCTACCACTTCATAAAATCCTTCATCATCCGGAAGTATGTTTTTCTCACAGAACCTGTTTTCACTCCACTTTACAAACAGTTTAAACTTGGAACAATGCAAGCAAAAGGTCTTCCCTGTAATACTTGATGGGAGCAGAAATTGGAACTTTGAAAAAGTAAATAAAAACACATCTGAAGGGTCTAGCTCTCTGGAAAAGACTCTAATTCTGGGAAAGGTGGAAGGAAAAAGAAGAAGAGGATAGCAGGAAAGATAGTGGATGGATTCAGCTATAGATGGAAGACCTAAAGAACCAAATTATTCACAAGACAAGTAGTACTTCACATTGGGAGCACCTCCTTTCTAACTAACAATTATACAGCCAATACTGATGTCTTTGGAAAGGGGGAAACACAGTCTCTGGGACTGTGCTATCAATGTCATTCATGAAACCAAGCAAAACATCACAAGTTAATGTCAAAGATGTAATTGTCTACCCTAAAGGACTGGTGAGAAATTGCAGAAAGGCTTTATCTACTGTTTTTCCTTCCCTGCAAATTTACTGTTAAGAAGGATGGCTCACTCCCAGTAGTTTACAGTTGCTGGTTCTTTTAATCTAAAATCATTATGGATCATTGCCTTCTTCCTCTTATTTCTAGGCTTTTGTAACAGCTGCAGAAAGCTTGTTTTTTTTCCCTACTAAATTAAATTGTAAACTACCCTGAGGTCTAATTCAAATCAAAGAATGGAATGAATATTGAAGTGTTTATTTTTAGTATACATCCACAATAATGACCTTTGGTATCCAAACAGCTCCATCTTCCAAAGTTTCATGAAGCATATTTTTTCAGAACCAATTGTACATTTTTCTGATTACTTATTTGGACAATTAACTTATTTAATCTGAGGATCCAACTTTGCACATGTAGCAAGTAGGACAGTCTGTACCATCTGTACAATCGCAAACTCTATCTTGAGTTGAAAAAAAAGCACTTCCTCCATTGGTTTATTTGGACCACCAAATTTCTTAGAATAAACTTCAGATATATCCAGCTAAATTTGAATCTGTTCCATCCTGGACCACCCTCCTACACCCACCCACACCTATACACTATTAAGAATGTACAGCATTTTCAGGACTTTGCCATTTTTTCATTATTTTATTCCCAATGTTATTAATATCAGCCCAAATGAGTAAATCAGACAGGAAACAGGACTAGATGAGCTAATTCTACTTTATTGTAAGGTTGCATTAACAGAAACCTGAAAGTCTCAAGGTACAAACTTCCTGCCATTTTTAAACACCTGAACAATTTGGGTGGGTCTTTCCTAAATTCCTTCCCTTGACGATTAATCCACTGAGGACTCCTGTCTCTCTAATCTGATTGTTTCGTAAACAGTGTATCTTCCCCTTATCCCAAGGTCATCCATTACACTTATAAACCTCTTACAGACTTGTATTTCCTAACTTAAGGTTGGCACAATTCTTTTCCCCATTCTGAATTTCAATTATCTCATTTTTAATGAAGACTTACAATTTGTCCAAGTTTGGGGGAAGCTCTGTTTCATCTGTGATGTTTGCCCTTCATTTATAGTCAGGTTATAAAACATAGAAAATAAATGCTACCTTTGAGCAATATCTTCATTGCCATGTAACAGGAGTTTAACCTTTATTCCCCCCTTGCATGCTTTTCCCCTAAATAAGGCAAAAGTGGAAACACTATAAAGCACTGCTTCCCTCTCACAAGTCTCTCAGGTTATCCAAGAAGGAATCATGCTTGATGCATCAAGCACTGCCTAAAGACCCAAGAGGCATATTCCCTCTTCATCTACATCCTGAAAAAAGTTCATAAACTAGGACAATCAATCCTGTTTTTATCTCATGCCTGAATACTAGCTGCAAGGGATCAAAGTAATTCATTACTTCTAAAAATGTCTTTAAATAAAGCTGGTCACCTTCTCCAGAATCTTCCTTGGTAAAGAGATCTTTGACATTGAGTGAAAATTGTCTAATATAACTGAATCAAGAGATGATCTCTTAAAGACAGATTGTACCACTGGTTCTTTTTAGCAGGAGACATTACCCACCGCAAGACATACTCATGTTTCCCCAAGTGTGATTGGACACACAAGGAATTTGTCTTGGTGCAAATGCTCTCAGTATACATAAAAGAAAGATACATCTTATGTATCTTTTAAATAGTCTTATCTTACTATTTGTCATCAATAATAGACATTATATGAATAGATAAAGGGGAAAAGCAACAAGTGAAAAGCACTTCAACAAAGTGGCTGAGTTCATAAATCACACTGAACAATAATGTGCTTTGATTTGTTTTAGGTAGTAGAGTATGTGGTATGAGTCAAGCCATTTGAGTTTATTAAATAAATGAAACAATTTAGTGCAATAGGACAAATCAGGCAGTAAATGAGAATCTGAAAATTTTTACCTTTTACTAATTCAGGGAAAAATGAAAGCAAAGTAAAATAAAGAGAAATCGAAAACGCAACACACTTACGTAAAAACCCCACAAACTGAAAATATAAGATGCAGTTCAGCTATCTCTATCACTCTTCTTGCGTTAGGAAATGTCCAAGTCAGGAGTCACAATCCAACCTTCCAAAGATTTGGAAGCTATAAGCCTCTGAGAAGTAAACCACTCCCATTCTTAAAGCCTTAAAATACTTGTTGCCAAGTTTCAACAACAAGTTTCAACAAGGAGGTGTTAAAGAGCACCACTCAGGATACTGGGGGATTGAAAAAAGGTGACAGGTTGCCCAAGGCTATCCACCTTGTGTTAAGGAAAATGGATATGAGAAGTGGGTCCTTTTATTAGTTTCATTTTGAACAATCATATGTAGGCTTACAAAATGCTTTTATTTTTCTCTTTCTATTGGAAGCAAGCAACACTGCCCAAAGTCTCTAATTAACCGTTCCTTGATTTACCTGATCCAAATACTAGATATTAATCCAGATGGTAAGCCCCAGACAATAAGTATGTACCAAAGAAGACATTTAAGTACTGATTAATTATAATTAACTATTAATTATAATTTAATTAATCTAATACATATCAATTTTACATAGTTGATTTAACAGAAGACAATGTTGAAAAAGCACTACGCAATCTAAAACCATTTCTATCTATTGGACCAGACAGAATATATGCCTACTTCTTAAAAAAGCTATCCACTGCCATAACTGAACCTCTAAACATAATCTTTGAAAAATCTTCCAGGACTAGGTCCTTGCCAAAACTATGGTCACAAGCCATGGTCATCCCCATCTTCAAAAAGGGAGACCCCAGCCTAGTTGAAAATTACAGACCAATCTCTTTATGCTGCATCACCTGTAAAGTCATGGAATCAATTATTAACCAATCCATCATCCTCCACTTAGAAACAAACAACCTACTCTCTAATAAACAATTTGGTTTTAGGAAAAAACTATCATGTAATCTGCAACTCTTACACTGCAAAAACATATGGACTACACAACTTGATCAGGGCAAAGCAATAGACGCAATCTACATAGACTTCTGTAAAGCCTTTGATTCAGTGGTACACAACAAACCACTCCTAAAATTAAAATCTTACGGTATCTCTGGACACTTGCGTAAGTGGATAGAAGCATTCCTGTCAAACAGACAACAAATGATCAAAATTGGGAGCGTCCTATCAAATTCTGTACCTGTCAACAGTGGTGTCCCCCCAAGGCAGTGTTCTAGGACCAATTCTCTTCATACTCTTCATAAATGACCTCTTCGGTCATATCAAGAGCAACTGCATTCTCTTTGCTGATTATGTAAAGCTATTCAACACCAGACAACAGACAATACTGCTACCCTTCAAAAAGACCTTGACTATGTATCAGAATGATCATACAAATGGCAACTTCAAATCTCAACAAATAATGCTCTGTCCTACATATTGGCAAACAAAATTCAGAAAATAAAATACAGGCTAAATAGTCAAGACCTTGTTGATGATCCAAACTCTGTCAAGGATCTTGAAGTACTCACCTCAAATGACCTAAGTACTAGAGCCCACTGTAACTACATAGCCAAAAAGGCATTAAGAGTTGTTAACCTAATCTTACGTAGCTTTTTCTCTGGTAATATTACACTAATAACTAGAGCATACAAAACATTTGCTTGACCAATACTCAAATAAAGTACATCAGTCTGGAACCCACATTACGTATCTGATATTAACACAGTTGAGAAAGTCCAGAAATATTTCACAAGAAGATTTCTCCACTCCTCTACTTGTTGCAGAATACCTTATGCCACTAGACTTGAAATTCTAGACCTAGAAAACCGAGAACTACCCTCCTTCGGTCTGATCTAAGTATAGTATATAAAATCATACATTGCAATGTCCTACCTGTGAATGAATACTTCAGTTTCAACCATAACAACACAAGAGCAAACAATAGATACAAACTCAAGGTTCATTGTGCCACATTTGATTGCAGGAAATACGACTTCAGCAACAGAGTGGTCAATGTCTGGAATACTCTACCTGACTGTGGTTTTTTTCCCCAAATCCCAAAAACTTTAACCTTAGACTGTCTACTATTGACCTCACCTCTTTCCTAAGAGGTCTGTAGGGGGCGTACATAAGCGCATCAATGTGCCTACTGTCCTTGTCCTATTGTTTCTTTTATATTTTTTTATTTTTCTTATATGTATCCATTATATTCATAACTATGTTTTTACTTATACCAATTATCTTGTAAGCAATTGACAAATAAATAAAAAATAAAAAAATAAAATAAATTTCATTTTTTGCATAGGGCCAGTTCATGTTCCGTATTCCATTCCTTATTTATTTGTTAATATATTTAATTTTCTATTTTTATTTGGCTTGATTGTACACCACTCAGAGTCAGTTTGGATTGGGTGATGTCTAAAAAAATCTAATTAAATTAGTAAATTAAATTAAAATAAATTAAATGGAGAAATAACTTATATTACAAGTATTTACCTTGGAAGATCGAAAACAAAATGCTGTAGATTTCACATCAGCTTTTTCTTTGTCTGTTAAAAGGAGACTCTTATCATCCATGAGATTTAAATATTTCCCTGTTGTTATATGTCTTAATCTGAATGGCTGCCCCCATCTAATGTGACTTCCACTCCATCTAATAAAAAAATAAAATTAGTATACATAAACAATTTAAAGTATTAACTTTAAATGAAAACATGAACATTCAATTTTATTTCTAGAATTAAAGATATGCTGAAATCACTTTTCAGTGATATCTCAACTATAAAACATTTAAAGCATGCATCAAACAAGACCTCAACCTATTAGCTAAGAACACTTGCTAATTTCAACAGAAAGCCAATCAAATTGTTTTGGTTGACCAGGTCCACCAAATCATAGATGAGCCATGTACATGGCCATCAGAAGACAAACAGATCTGCATCCATGAAATCAACAGAAAGAAATGAGACCTGTAAAGTCCACATAACAGATATTTCGGTGGATTCTGTTTCATTTATATTTAATTGGAATCTTTGTAATATTGTAATAACCGAGTTCATAACAACATATTGTCCACATTTTCATCATATAACCTACTGCTCCAGTGTTTTGGGAACAAAAAAGACAAATAATAGGTTCAGCTAAGCACATTCCCAGATACAAGTAGAAGGCTGTAAAATGCTGAGTTCTTTTTACAATATCGTATATAATAAATATTCATTCTTTATATAATACATCAAATTGACCTACATGCATTGACAGAAAAATCCTCTCCCAGAAACTGAAATTAACTTGCTTGCTTTAAGCATTGTGTATTTATGTATGGATAAAAAAGACAGAGGTATGCTAATTATTAGAATAATCATTTTAATTATTTTTAACTAAATATTTCACTTTCCAATAAAACAATACAGGAGAGAAAAGCAAAGAACAAATATGCACAAATTCACTGCGTGTCTGGAATATGTTCTGATATGAAAGAAAAGACTTCCTTATATAATTATTTGTGTAGTAGCTAGCACAACATTACTGCCAAACTGAATTTCAAGCAAAAATACTGTCCATTTAACAAATCATAAACTGAAGCTAATCAAATTTGAAAATGCTAAAAATCTCAGCGATTAGCTTTTAATTTTTCAAACAGAACTATGTCATAACCTTTGTTCACTGATACTCTCATTAAGCAATCAATCAATAGGCATCCATTTCCGCAGGATTTCCTCAAAACAAATAATTTGCAAGAGACAGTATTTAGCAGCAGTATGCATCAATACACATACTTACAATAAATTTCAAATGATATCTTAAGTCATTGCACATTATAATCTTGGTACTACTTCCAAATGGAATCAAAACCTTTTAGCATACTATGATTTTTGCAACAATAACAACAAAAAAACTCCTGTTCACTTGACAAAAGGGAATATTAGTTGTCATAATGGATATATTATGCCAGCATTTACTTACGCAACCCTCAAAGTTTCCAGTCGCCAAAGAGAACGAGCATGAATTGACACAGCACCACCTTCATAATGGACAGTTCTACAACACAAAAGACATTTTCTGAGTTTTTTTAGGTATTTGTGATAAAAACCAATTGTTTTCCCTAAGAAAATATATTTGACCAGTGCAGAAATTGGCTAAAATAAATATATGTACAATAATCAAAACAATGTGTGCACACTCATAAACTCTTTTAAAATTTACATTTTTAATCCTAGATAACCTTTCTCAAAACAGTAAAAGAGCATGCATTAGACTGTATTACATAATATCCTGACCAATGCAATAGGACAGCTTCAATTTGCAAGGGATGTGTGGGTGTGTATTAAAAAGCAACCAAAGTGAACAGCATTCATTTTTAAAAACCATAAGGTGGTGAATTCATGTCTTTTCTTAACTTTTAAAAATTCAGAGTTTTATAATGCTGCATTAAGAAATTAGTTTAAAAGCTGCCTCCTTCCGAGGTTCTTGGAAGGACAAGGCCATGTCCTATTGCATAGCCATATACTCATTCCTGAAAATGCTGGAGAAAGAGAGAAGATCCAAAGAGCACAATGCTCTTGTAAGCATTCAGGCTTTTTAAAAGTTAGAAAAGGATCAGGCTGTTTACCTGTTTCTGTAGTTTTGTAAGCAGTCTTCTGTGCATTCATTGAATGAATTTCATGTCCCTAGGCAGATACCATCGGAACATTCCAGAGCTGAACTGATTTGAAGGGGTGACAAATGTTTCCTTCCATTGTGCATACATGAAGGACTATTACTTACCTCAGTGAGGTAAGTACCCACACTGGGAAAGCAGAAATTTGTATGAATGCAGAGACTGCCAATCAACGAAACAGTGAGCAAACTGTCCCTCTTTATTATGGTTCCTTGCATAGTAAACTACACTTATCAGAGGTAGAGCAGGCCAATTAATGTAGCATTGAACATAATGTTGTTTAATCAAGCATAGTAAATTACATAATCCAGATTTCAAGACAGTGGTCTAAACAAAAGTCAGAAGGTCAGACCAAACAGGAATATATTATGCCATGATTTCCGATAGTATTTTGAACTGCGAGACTGAAGCAGAAAGAATCGATCAAACCAACCAAATGTTTATTGTCAATGCAAGGCAAGCGTACAATGAAATTGAAAACATTGAAAAAATAGTATCTTAATTAAGACAAAAAATTGCTAACAAAATTTGTTTATGGTTAATATCTCACTGCAAATCAACCTTTCTTTATTGAAAGCAACTTCAAATATAGTTGAAGATTTATTCTTGGCTACATGGACTATCTTGCCTGTTAACCTTCTCTTGAAAGTTTAAGGCCTTCTAAACTGAAGTTTATTCATATTGACAAACAGCTTCCCTTTTTTTTGAAGCAGATCATATCTGTCTTATAGTCATGCCCTGGAAACTTATCTTCTTTAATAACTAAAAGTTAGTCATATGGGAGAAAATGTGGGGAAAAAAACCAGAAATCCTTGAGTGAGATGATAGGACTGTGCTACCAATGGTAGGAATGATGAATGAATATAAGCAGTTGAACTCAAATGAAATTTACAAAAATATATAAAGAAAAGAGCAATGAGCATGATTACCTTGCTAGACGCAAGAAAAATTGATCCTACAAGAATTAAACATAAGTGCTAGAAAATGTGGGTTGTAAGGTAATTTGAGATTTTCATAGTTGTCATATATATTTAAAATCTAGAATAGCTAATTTAATAATGAAGTTGATACACACATCTTCTACCATCAGATAGATCAATAATGAATCACTGGAAAAAAAAAATATCTAGATTCCTTGATGAGCAGATCATCACATATGCATGAACTTTGTAAATGCTTGAGGTGCTATTGAAAGACCAGAGGGAAACACTTTGAATTGAAAGAACTGGATTTATGATCCATATAAATGCTGATATAGAAATATACACGGTTCAAAACAACCTACACTAACCAATCTCTGTGATACAATTGTGAAAGTACAGATGCAAAAATCTCAACTTAAAATGTACAAGGAGTAATGAAACAACACATCATGAGACTTGGTTTCAGGGTACTATCTCATCTTGGAAACATGAAACTATAGAAACAAAATCCTGTGAATGGAAAACTTGGGTTGCTTCTGTGCAGAGAAGCATTTACATTTCAAGTAGAATAGTCAAGGAAAAGAGAGTACACCAAATAATGATGGCACTGCAATGATAATTCCTGAAATAGCCTTGATTGATTATGCCCTATAATCTACACAATCTAAGAAAAAGTAGATTAAAGCAATTGATATAAACCACCCATGTATTTTAGAACATGCAATCAAGCTCAGTGTTTAGGATAATTCCCTATTTCTTATGTCCCCAAAAGGACATAAATCAAAATAGCAGTTTCAAAGTGGGATTTTGTCAGCTGGCATTCAAAAAGGGGTGTTTTGTCTCCAAGAATTATATTGTTGCTAGGAAAAGTCTGGTAGACCCAGGTCCATACAATGCACAATGCTTCACAATACTAATCTGTGAAGCCTTTGAATTGGAATAATGAAAACTAGCCCCTGCCACAAGTTCGTAGTAGCATGGAACAGGGTTAGCAACATCACCATGAAAACCAGCCAATGCACTGAATTGCACAGACTGAATTATCAGTTACATTGGCTATCTAGCTTCCCAGCTTATTATTCACAGCATTTGCTTAATATGAATTTGGGACACTGACACACTTGATACACCATCTAAACAAGCCAAGACATGCAGTTTGCGAATCATGGTACTGAAAAAAGACAAAATTTAGGGGGAGAAAATGCAGAGTAATTATTTAAAAATGCAAGAAAAAGTATAGTAAATTCAGAAGGCACAGCAATCTTGAACAGGAAGTTAAATCAATTGTAAGCAGAAGGAAGTAAGGTACACAATTTGATATCCTTCAGTTATGTAATGCGAGGGAGTATTTAGTTACCAAAATCAACTCAGCTGTAGAACATATGGATGGTATCTGTGCAGACATTGAAACCAGGGGTGGGATCCAACCGGTGTAACTAGTGGTTCGGTAATTTTACGTTTTGCGCGCGCATGCAGCTACGATAGAAAAAGCAGGAAATAAAGATCAGGTAAGAGCCAGGGCGGGCAGGTGGGCCAAAAGAGCAGCAGACATAGAACCGGTTATATGTGTGTTCTCTGTCTACTGCTCTTCAGAGCAACCGGTTCTACAAAAGTGGACAGAACAAGTAGAATCCCACCCCGATTGAAACTATATTTGCAATGTATAGAGATGACAGAGAGGAGCAGGAGAAATCCCTCAGCCAAATTAAACATTTTACAAACAGCAAAATCTCCAGTTCTTCATTTTTTTAAAGTCTCTCATAGGTGACTTTCACTTCTTCCATCCTTAATTTAACACAAAAATCAACATCCATTCCTACAGAAATTTGTAGCAGAATCTTTTATACTCCTTTCCAAAAAATTACAAGGAGGAAATTAAAAGTGTTTTGTGGGCTACAAACTAACTACATCAGATGCATAAAATTGGTTAAACTGATGCAGGATTTAAATTGGGAAGTGGGTGAAAGTAGGAAAGACAGACAGTTTGATTATAAAGATGCAGCTTTCATGTGAGACAGATTATAAATACTAATCAATTAAGACTTATAATAACTCTAATATATTGTATTAAAAACCCATTATGTTCACAGAGACATTCTGAGATTACCTGGAACTTTTTTGATGTATCAACTTTTGCTGATGTATCAGCAATCTTTCACTCAATACTATTAATTTCTTGTTTGCCAAAATGTCACATGACTGTCTGCCATACAATATCCTGATTCCTTTGATGGTTTGCCACCATAGACTAATACCGCCCTTCCTCAAAACTATCTAGCAAATATATTGTGCTTCTAAATAGCCAGTTAATTGGTATAAGTAAACCAACTCTTTATCATTATATATTTCCACATTAAATAAATTATTTCCTTTCCCAACTGTAGACTAATAAGACTGCAGTGCTTATAAATAAATTACAATTATGCATAACATTATTTATTAGACTATAGCAAGTTTAAAGATGCTGTGGAGATTATTTTATTATAGTGGCTGTCTTTACAAATTGCTACCACTTAGGGAAAAAATGAACTATGTGCAAAGCTATATATAGGGTTTTTTTAAAAAGAAAAAAGAACCAAAGGAAGAACAAATCTGTAAATAAATATTCAACTGGGAAAAGTAAAAAAGCTCACTTGTGAAGAAGGATTTTTGAAAAATGCACTCATGAATCTCCCACAAGGACCTTTCTACAGAACCTTTAATGTTTTGGTCCTTCAGTTCTATGGCTATAAAATACACTTTATTTAAAAGATACTTAAACAGCCACTGTGAAGCCAGAATGGATATCTACTAAAGCTACATTGCCATATTTTTCAAAAGGTCATTTAATTGTTATTCATTATTTTAATATCAAGATATAAATTCAGAGGCCTTGAGATGTGTATGACTGTTCTAAGTTATAGCAGTCACAGAACAGGTGATTTATAGACCATAAAGCAACCCTGTTGTAAATTGTCTCATACACACACACACACACACACACACACCATGGTCAGGTGACTGGTCAGGGCAGATCATTACATTACATGAGGAAGAAATTGGTATAAATCTTCCTCCCCCACAATTTTGTTTGTTTGACTACTTTCTTCACAAGAAAATTGTTTCGACTATTTAATTATTTGTGGTTTTTTTTTGTACTGTTTATGATGAGCTTTTAAGGGCACAATATAATCTACTCTTCAGGAAATTTTACTATATGGTAATGTTATAATCATATTGTATTCAGTAAAATACTTTGCCTTACACAATTTTGGAGATTATCATAACTCAGAATAGAAACAGTAGCTGTTAAATATAAAATTGAGGATTACTATATAAAGGTAATCTGAAATTAATTGATTTTAATGTGATATTAATGTATCTGATTAAAATGTAGTGTTCCATTGAAGTGTCAGCGCTGACTTTCTCTCAAAGGTCCAAGGCTGGAACAAGGGAAAAACCACAACTCACACAAAAAATCCCCACAACACCATAGCAGCAACCAGTCTTTACTCTCAGTCTGGTACCTTGGTACACAGTGAGTGAGAACATTGAAATTCCTTGAAAAGTCAAGGAATTTTATTATGCTAACCACCATAACACCCACACCCCCAGCCACACCCTCAGACACCCAGCACCTAGCCACATAACCCTAGTCACCCAACATCTGGAACAGTCTCCCTGCTGGCTCATCTCCCTCCCCATCCATAGCCATGTTCTGGTTTCCGCATTTCTGATAGCAAACAGGAGTCCCATTCTGTCAAGCAAGCAGCCCCTGACAAAGCAGCAGTCCTAGATGTCTTGTAACAGATGCACAGCAGCCCTTCCTCCCCAAAACCAGCAGCCATGGAACGGCCAACTGATGACCGGCAGTGGGGTACAGCACCCAGAAGTCCAGCCGTGATTGCACTCAGCTCTCTTGTTCCTCCATCCTCTGTCAGCGTGTGGCCTCGTTCAGGTCCCTATCACCCCAGGTATTGTGAGCCCCAGATCGGGGCTCGATAGGTAAACAATTTGAAAAGTGCATGTATTTAACAATCTCAAATCTGTGTTTAATCATTGATACTGTTTTAGGGTAATCAGAAGGAATACTTTCACTGGGCAAAGATTTGAACATTTAATCCACTTAATCCAGAGGCAGAGAATTTTCTTCAATCAGGAGGTTTTTTGGGGGGAGGGGGAATTTTTTAAAATTATTTTTTGAGGACCAGAGAAGGATAAATCTGTAACTCAATTAAGTCCACTTAATAGGTAGACTTACTTTTTAAATTGAAAAAGAACATGGGAAATGTTAAGGATGAATGAAACTTTTGCCTCAGAGAGGCATAATATATCCATTTTCATGTTTACTTCGGAGGAAAAAGAGCCAAATATCGTTAAATCATTTGCTTATGACTTAACTTTCTCAAAGCAATTTGGAGATACTCAGAAGATCATAAGACTGAACTAATGAGTTCTCTGAATATAATCTGTTTTTATCATTCAACACAACCTAAGTGTGGGCTAAATTAGGGGTACACGGTTCCTCATATTTTCACTCTTAAGTATGTATGCAACCTTTCAACTTAAGGTTGAAAATGGGGAACTATGTAACTATAAATTATGATATGCATAAAACAATATAGGTAGTCCTCAACTTACAACAGTTCATTTAGTGACTATTCAAAGTTACAACAGCACTGAAAAAAAGACTTATGACCATTTTTCACATTTATGACTGCTGCAGCATCCCTATGGTCATGTGATCAAAATTCAGACATTTGGCAACTGTTTCATATTTATGAAGTTTGCAGTGTCCCGGGATCATGTGATCAGCTTTTGTGACCTTCTGACAAAATCAATGGAAAATACAGATTCACTTAACAATCATGCTACTAACTTAACAAATGCAATGATTCACTTAACAACTGTAGCAAGAAGTAAAATGAGACAAACTCAGTTAACAAATGTTTCACTTAGCAACATAAATTTTAGGCTCAATTGTGGCCATAACTCAAGGACTGCCTGTACAGATAGCTTTGACTTATAACCATTCATTTAGTGACCCTTCAAAGTTACAATGGCACTGAAAAAAGTGGGTCATAATCAGTTCCTGCATTTATAACTGACAGCATCCCAATAGTCATATGATCAAAATTTGAGTGCTTGGCAACTGGCATATATTTACGACAGCTGCAGCATCCCTGATCATGTGACCACCTTGTCAACTGGCTTCCAACAAGCAAAGTCCATGAAAGAAATTGCTTAACAACTGCAGTGAGGTTGTATAATTATGTAAGTTCATAAAATTGGGCATTGCTCACTTAATTGCTTAATGACAGAAACTGTGTCTCAATTGTGGTCATAAGTGAAGAATTACCTGCATAATCATCTTCATGCACATTTCTCCACCATATGTATTTTGTATGTGATTTTATCTTCTTTTAAAAATAGCAATTTTATACTTTCATTTACATACACATTTTCAACTGAAGAACTGCATCACAAAAGTGAGAAAAGTATAAATACTGGAATATAGTGATATAGTGTAAATAAAAGATGATCATTTACACTTTGAGAATTCAATGAATCTGTCTCCTTAGGCAAAGTCTGTTTGAATGAGACAAGTATTCAATGTAATGATAACCAACATTCTCAAAAGATATATATTTCTCCTCTGTACAATATTTTTCCAGCAAAAAATGAGGTGACACAAGATAATTACTTTTCCTTCTGAGTTCAGCTAACAGAGCAGCTACTACGGTAGATGATTTTGTATCTCTCCCACATTCCAATCCCTGAGGCAAGCCCTAGGTATTATAGGCAACGAACAACAAGAAAATGAGAAGGTTTTAAAATATTATTTCTACTTTCAGTAAATGAAGATAACAAATTGACTAATTCTGTAGGCCGTGGGCTAATTCAAACTTTAATTCACTTCAGACTAGCCCTTTTCCATGAACTGCTCAGATGATCAAGTTATACTGAGAAGAAATGTTCCTATAAAATTCAAGATTTATCTACTTGTTGCAATGCTTTTCTCATAAAAAGGCCTCTCACAGTCAGCAACCCCTTTAACACTTTTAATTTTAAATAATGTGTCATTTTTAACTGGGAAATGGGTTAGGTGAATTTTGTTAAGAATGTATTATCTATTCTTATCAAGCTTCCTAACATCTTGGACAGAGTCCTTGGTCAAGTTTGCTACCAAACAACTTTTTTTTTTTGTATTCATACAAATACATTTTACATCTTAGAAATGTAAAATTATATGCTTTAGTAAGTGTTTACTTATTCAATTTAATTCAATTTTATTTTAAATTTCCTAAAATACTTCATAAAAATTCTCAACAACAGGTTTGGAAATACTATATTTCAGGAAAATATATTATTTTCACTGAATTAAAATTGACCTTGGTCAAGAGGATAATCCCATGAAATATAGATAGCCCTCAGCTTATGATCATAATTGAGGCCAGAATTATGGTCCTAGGTCCTTGAGGTCATAAATTGAGGTATCATGTGACTGGACCCAATTTTTTGACAGTTTTTGCAGCAGTCATTAAGCAAATGCAACAGTTGTTAGGGGGATCAATTTTCCACAATGGGAGCTTTTTGCCAGAAACCAGAAGTAATTGCTGAAACTAGCAAAAAATGTCGTAAATCTGGTCATGTGACTCTGAAGCATGGCAAATGTAATAAATGTTAGCAGGTTGCCAAGCGTCCAAAATGCAGTCATGTGACCATGAGAAGGAGGAATTGGGGGGGGTATAGTAACTTCAAAAATGGATCTCAAGTAGCTTGGAGGGGCAGGCTTTGCAACATCAAGCAGTCATTAAGCAAATAGTTATAAGTCAAGGACTACATATATTAGAAAGGATGTTATATAAAATAAGACCTATCCTCATGCATTCCAAAGTGCAGGATGGAAGAATGAATTGAAATTACCAGAAGACACATTCAGATTGTTGGGGGAGGGGAAATCCTTCCTAACAGTAAGAGTTGTTTAATAGTGTAATCAATCACCCAGCAAAATGATGGCTCCCTTCACCTCTCAGAGATCCTTTTATTTGTGTTTCTAGATGGAGCCAGGGGCTGGTTACATTGGCCTAAGCCATTTTTTTATCAAATATGATTAGGTAAAAATTAAATTTCCAATTAAATTCTACAATATCCATTGGATTTGACAGCCAAGTTAAGCTTTTGCAAGTTTCTCCTCTTCAGATTCTGATAGGACTATAGAACAACCTGACAACTGCATATCTAGCAAATCATGTGGTTATATCTTTAATAGGGAGACTTTTCTCCAAATATTTTTTACGTTAGGATTAGATTAAATATTAACATTCAAAAACCAGTCACCAAAACGTTCTTTTAATTAATGTTAAATAATTTGTTGCTACTTGATTACCATGAAGCTGTACGTACTTATTTTAGAGCTGTGCACATTTTGTCATTTGGAAAGAGTGAAAGAGACCTCAGTATTGTTCATTATAGTACAAGTTTTCAATTTTTTGTTTTTATGAAAAAATAAATATGCTTTAATTGATAGCAGACAAGTGGTACATGAGATACAAAGCAGTTCTTCCAAATCAATTTCAAACCATATACAGTCCAAATTTCTGTTGCAAAATCCTTTGCTTTTCAGGGCATTACAAAATTGTATTCATGGTAATCTTAATGAATAGATCAATATAGGCTCACCATGTCTAAGTGTACGTGGATGTATATCTATTTAAGCAGATTCCCTTAATGGCCTTTGTTTTGTTTAACAAACATTTACCTTCTCTGCTCTTCTCCATGTTCTCCTGAAGGAACTGTCAGGCATTCATCCATATGACCATGTAATAACCTCAATACATCACCTCCTATTAGATAGCCTATAATGCAGAGCAAATGAAAGGTTGTATATTTTAAGATTAATCCTATCTCGCTATAATGTTTCATCAACTTCTAAATATTCTTGATATTAATTCAATTTCTCCCCAATCTGAAGTTTTGCATTTAATTTTCAAAAGACTACACTAAGACAAATGGAAATGATAGATTCAGAAAAGCATGTATTGTCATTTAATGAGACAATTTCATGCACCATGAGGCATTCGTCATTAAATGCTATGAAAACTTCATTGCTTCCAAAGCATAGTCTCTACAGGCATGGTGTACAATATAGAACTTCTATAAATACTATCTGAAGTCTGCATGGAACAATACCCATAATTCACTTGCCAAAAACAAGTTTTTATGCATTAATTATATTTCCTTTACACACTCAGATTATCTCTATTATCTATAAAATGTGAACAAAATGTGGATTTTTCAAATAGAAATTTATTCAATTATGAATTAATACTGAATAAAATAGACTTCATGTTTTGTTCATGTGCTATGCCATAATTAATTTCAAAGGATTACAGATACTGTCATTACAGAGATTAATAATGGCTAGAGAAGAAAACTGTACTATTCAACAAAATTAATTGATTATCTAAGAACTTTTTCTGCATCATAGGATAAAGAAAATAAATGCTTTTGATACAAATATTCTGAAGAGCTGAACCATACTTCTAAAATGGTAAAGCCTCTATGATAGATTGAAAACCTAGTCTTTTCAAATATTCATGAAAAAAAAATTGCCAAGCAAACCAGTGCAAAAGAAACTTAACTGTTTTATACACTAAAAGTTTGAATATAGCTTCTTTAGTAAACACAGAAAAGAGAGCCAGTTTGGTGTAGTGGTTTAGGCACCAGCTAGAAATTGGGAGAATGTGAGTTCTTGTCTTGCCTTAGGCATGAAACCAGCTGAGTAACCTTGAGCCAGTCACTCTTTCTCAGTCTCAGGAAAAAGGCAATGGCAAACCATTTCTGAAAAATGTTGCCAAGAAAACTTCAGGTACTAGTCTAAGACGTTGCAAGACATCAACATACTCAAAAGCATCAGAAAAATTAAAAATAGCACAGAAAGGGTGGGAAGAATTTTCTACAGCAAAAATTTAAGAATAGCTTCCCTTCCACAAAGCTATATCGATGTTAGTATATGCCAAATGTATAAAACTTGCTTATTTTCAATTAATACTTATTATCTGTTTGACAACATGACACTTTAGCATTATTATTTTTTTCATGGTGAAAATATTACATGTAATCACAGTAACTGTTTAGCAGGAAAATATGAACCTGTGATCCCTATGTATTTTATACATGAAAAAAAAACCACAAAGCCAAGTCACCCTTAATGCAACCTCTCTCAAGATAGCTTTTATGGTATGCAAAAGAATGGGTAGATTATAAAAAAAATGATAGTACTGTAGGTGGCTAAGAGGACTCTAAAAATCCAATGCTAAGACAATTATTTGCCAAACACCTACTTGTCTTCCCTTTCATATTTATTATGAATTAAGTATTCATGAGTAAATCTAATTTTATAACAAACAGGACTACCATCTGCCTTAATGTTTTCCCCTAAATGGATTAATATAAGAATCTGAAGAATGCTTATTTTGTATTGCAATTCTTTGCAGGGGATTGCAGTCATTGTCACATTACGGAAACAACAAACCTAAAGCACAATGACAATTATTATTATAACAGTGGTACCTTGAGCTACTTCACTTCCGGAACTGATTGGGGCAACACTCCAAAGTGTTTGCTGGAAAGCTGCATCCACACGCAAGCTGCTGTTGCCATAAGATAAATGCTGCAATCATTGGATAAAGAAAATGAATAAAGGAAAAGTCTGCCATTAGACCAATATAACAATACATAACAATCACCCTGCAGTTACATTTGCTACATACTTTAGTAGTCTTTGCAAAAATTAAATTAACTGGATAATCAGGTGTATAGCACTGTGTTCTATGAAGGATCAATTGAAGCCCTACCTACTATTCAGTTTATCATCTCCCAAGTAATATTCAGAATTTCAGTAGCTCTAGACCTGATGAGAACTAGCAATAAAAGACCAATATATCAGGTAAGATGGGCCTGAATTAACTCAAAGCAAGTTAATTATACTGCAAGCACCCTCCAAATTCCCTTGTCCATTTCAAAAATACTTAAAAGTCTTTCCCTGAAATTAAGAATGGAAAATTTAATGTCAGTGTAGAATAGCAACTACAACAAAAATGGTGGAGTGTTGCTAATCTGAAATCATTTTTTGGTTTTGATTGAACATATGCTCAATCCCAGCCATTATTATTTGGATTTTTTTAAAGTATAGGTTGTCATAACATTGAATCCAAACCATTTATATTATTTAGAAATGAATCTAGTTCATTTACTTTACTTCATTTAGCAAAATGAAAATAGTTGCTTTACCTGAAATATGCTGTATTTTCTACTATTTTAGAATAGTCAACTAATATACAACTTTATTAATATGATACCTAGATGCAAAAGATCTTAATAAGTGTAACAGTTTTATAAACTAAAACACAATACATATTACCAAGCAAATGTTGCCTCATTTGTCATTTATAAATTTATAAATAATTGGTCTAGTAAAATTACTGAAAATGTATTTCAATTAACAATTACATTTCAAATAATAAATAATTATTTATTAAATAATAATAAATAAATTATTATTTAAAAATAAGTTTTGTTTTGAAAGCTTATGACTGAATATTTTCTTTCAGATTTTTCTGTTCTGGTTGAATTTATTGTGTTTTACCTTGCTACTTGTGCACCAGAAAATGATTAGCAATAAAAAAGCCTTCTTTTTTTCTAGCTAGAGTACTTCTAAATGAAAAAAAAAATAACTACTTTTTTGTATCATAATCAGAGAAAAAAATATGTTGATGTATGGTTATCAAAATGCTGTATACTCATATTACTTATTATTATTTTATGGGTTCTGTTATTTTACTTCTGTTTATTTTCCTTTCATTTTCTTCCTTTTTATTATTCTAAGCCGCCCATGACTGCAGTTTATGGAAAATTCACAGAGGTTCCTGTGGTTTTAATGATGACTGAGGTCAGAGATGGCCAGTCTATGACCCCATCAACTGCATGCAATTCAATCATTCCAGTCATAATTTTTAGTAAAAGATCGTATAATAGCTAATTTTCAGTAGAGCAACAAAAATAGGTGGGAGCTGAAAGCATGTAGAACCAAAGCATTCCCAGTTCCACAATTAAATGGATGGGGCCATGTCCCCCAAACAGCCCAAATCATATTGCTGAATTCCCTCATATCACTAGAAGGCCATTCTGAATTCTCTAACTGATTGGGCAAGCGAATTGTTCCCCTCTTGACTATGTCTAAACTGGAGAAGTTGCCAGGTATCCAAGATCCAGCTATTCAAGGATTTGTAAGCAAAAAGTAATATCCTGAACCTGATTTTATAGCACCAGTTGCTTTATCACTGATGTAATAAATACTTAATCATTCCTTCATTCTGGCTAACATATTCTGAATCAGTTACTATTTCCAGCTAATTCCAAATTATAATCTCCAGATGTGATATTACGAATGGATAGATTACAATTGCCAGGCTAGCCTTATCCAAGAAAAGATACAACTTACAAACTAATAAAAGTTGTTAATAGTGCTCCTAGACATTAAGGTTATTTGAACTTCTGATTAAATGATGAATTAAAAACATGCAAAGTTCATAATTCATTTTTTGGAGAAAGCACATATAGAATAAGCAAATCTCAAATTCCTAGGCCCAGAATGCTTTGTCTTTTTAGCCTTCAACTTCAATTTATTGACATTTATCCAATCCCACATTACATCCAGGGTCCAATCCAGAGAAATACAGCTGAACATTATCAGCAAGCTGATGACACCATTCTCCAAAATTCCTGATGATTGACCCCATCCGTTTTATATAGCGTATCAGGCCTCAAACCAAGAACGACATGTGATCATTCTGCCAAGCTGAGTTCTTTATTTTTCTCTCACTTATAGACATTATTAATCTCTGCATTTACAATATATTCTTGTAAGCTATATGGGAGGGGCTGTCTTCACCATTTCTCTCAAAGGTAATATCTAGATTGACTTGTATTTACTCTTCTGGAATGCACCCTCTCCTTCCTGGGAATCCATTTCCTTACTGCATTCCATCAAAGCAATGAAGACCAATCAGTACCTTGTGGCATTTTATCCTCATGGGGGCAATAACATACAATGCTATTGCCTTAAGAATGGAATCACTATAAGATTGTAGCCCCAACTCCAACTCACAGAAATGAACCTGTAGAGAATCACAGTCAATAGTTCAAAACCTCAAAACAAAATCAAGTATGTGTCCTCCAGAGAATCACTGGTTGAATAAATATAGGTGCTCCTTGAGTTACCAATCATCCCTTCAATGATCATTCAAAATTAAAATATGGTAGTATTTAATTAATGGTACTTACAGCTGGTTCCCAAAGTTATGACCATTGAAGCACTCCTAGAGTTATGTGATTAAAATTTGGGTACTTAGCAGCCCACGGGTAATATCAGCTGGCCCAGCATGGAACGCAGAGCTTGGGAAATGGGGTTTTGTGTTGGGGTAGCTTCCATGGCATGGGGCTTGAAGTGACACTCCTTGATGATGGTAGCACTGGGCCTGAAGTTGGAAGGACAGAGGTGGCGGCAGCTGGCTGAGACTGTCAAAGGCTCCAGGCCTTTAGTTCAGCCCCAATGCCATCAGCAGAACCATTGCTGCTGACAAATGCCATTGGGTAGGGCAGACAAAAGAGCAACGATGGGGGAAGGGTGGAGAGAAGTGGGGTGTAGTTCAAAAGAAGGCAGTTCCTTGCCTTACCATGCCTTGGCACTGAGAGACCAAGCTAGGAATGGCTTGGATCTGGATGGGTTCTTGTCAAACAATGGTGGGATTTGGTTAATAGGGATTGCAGGAATTGCTGCCTGTAAGTTATGAAGTTTCATGAAGTTTTGCCTAACAAACACATTGCTTGGCAGCAGTAATTCCAGGTGCTACTACCATCATGACTTGAAGACTACCTGTAGCACCTTCCCAGGCACCCTATACCCAAAGAAATAGTTGTTATCTGAATCATAATAAATATAAACAAATGGATACAGGACGAACCTTTTCAAGAGTGGAAACAGAACTGACTCATTTATTTTTATACTTTCATTTATATTTGCTATTAACAAGAAAACTATTTACAAAAATGTTCATACTTCTACAGCTATTTTTAATAATACTATTTTTATTGCCTAAGCATTTATTCCATTTTGAAAAGAAATGATATAAATATCTTCTCTCACAGAAGAAGTCTATCAGATAGTCTTGATTTCACCTTGTTCCTGTGATGACTTACAAGAACAAAAAAGACATCGCACCATCTGGCCTGGAAGAACTTTAATATCTCTCAAATTCTATTTAAAACACATTCTTTCTCAAAATACCGTAAGTATACTAGGAGCTCCCAAGTATATCTGATAGTCTCACATAGTGGCAATGAGGAGTGAAAGGACTGTCATTGCTAAACAATGTGGTCACGTGACATCACACTTTGCAACTGCATTGCTTCACAACAGAAACTCTGGTTCCAACTACCATTGTTATATCAAGACAGCCTTTTTAATCTTTTCAACAAGAAAAATATAATGAGGTAAATACAAACATGTATTTAAATTACACATTAATAAATATTCATTTTAATTTCTTACATCTATCTTTTTTGTACTTTAAACTTATTTTAAAATTGAACTTTTTTGAAAAAGCTGCCTTATACATGAGGATTTCAGTACCAGCATGGATTGGATAAGGCTATGACTGAAAAATAATGTTTCTATGTTATCTATTTTTTCATCAATGGTGGTATTCATTATTTTTTACTACCAGTTCTGTGGGCGTGGCTTGGTGAGTGTGGTGTGGCTTGGGGGTGGCAGGGCTTGGGGAGTGTGACTTGGTAGGAATGGAAGGGATAGGATACTGCAAAATTCCCATTCCTTCCCCACCCCACTAACCTGCTTTCCAGCTCCGTTCTCCTGTGCAGGGCAACAAATGAAGACCCAGCCGATCAGCTGGGACTCGGGAGGCAGAGAATAGATGGAGGCAGGGCCAGTCAGAGGTGGTATTTGCTGGTTCTCCGAACTACTCAAAATTTCCGCTACCAGTTCTCCAGAAGCTGTCAGAACTGGCTGAATACCACCTCTGTTTTTCATACTCACTTTTCTACTTTTTATACTTGTGTTAAATAATATATTAGTATACTCTCTTCATTGCTCACCAAGTATCTTTCTGAAGAGACACTGACAAGGATGAGATCATCCCCAACACGCACTTTTTCTCCTTCTGAACGCTGTTTGGAAGCAGGATGTATAGTCCACCAGCAGGCTTCCCCTACATGGAAACATACTGTTTTATTTTGCATCTAGAATTGTGAATATAACCATTGGCTTAATAATAATAACAATCTACAACAATGAACTATTAGCAGTCTAGGATAAAACACCATTGCTTTGTCTTAAGATGCTTCCAGATAAGGTTCTAAGTGGGTCATTTCCACTCTCTAATAACTCACTATTATCTTTATTTTTCTTAATATGCTACGAATATCACTACCAGTTAGTTTTCACACTGGCTAACCAATAATAGAATGTTATTCTATCATTCTAAAATAAATTGCAGCAGCATCCCTGTTTTCAGTATATGCACATATTTGGTATTATGCAAAACAAACCATGCGGCTATTATGAGGGGAATCTTTCTGGCTTTAAAGTTATATTTCCTTCTTTTTAAAGCCTCTTGCACACGATGATGCTGAAAAGATAGTACACTAGCAACATTCCCAGTAGCTGTAACCATAGTTCCATGTTACAGCAACATATTAATAAGAGAAGGAAAGATATTAAAGTTTTTAAAAAAAACTATGCAGAACCACAGAGTTCCCAAATCAACCAACTTCATGAGTTAGATTTGGGATTAATTCTGTACAGATCTAGAATTATTATTAGAACTCCCGTTAGGTAAATTTCATCTGTTAAGATTCCACTGCATTTTCTGCTTTTGGCCAAAATTCTTTTAAAAATTTCAAAACAGAATGATATAAATATCAGGCCAAGCCTATTCATATACTTCAACTGTTGAACCCAATATTCTACAGTTGATAATGGTCTACATCAGTTACAAAGATATGTGGGTGATATCAGCCTACAAGACTGTTTCTGAAAAAAAAGCAAAAAAATAACCCTGCAACTGACATTGATAAATGCTATTGTTTTTGCATTTGTCCCAGAGAGTTGCACGGTCTGCTTGTTTTTGCAGTGGGCTAATCTAGTTCTTACAGTGAAACTATCAGTGTATGAATGGACAAAGAGTTTTGTTTACCAGTTGGCTTGTCAGAGAGCTTAACATTGCTTTCAGCTAAGAGGGAGTGACTAGCCCAAGATTACCCAGATGGATTTAGTTATCTAAGGAACAATTAAAAACTCCATCTCTCTACTCCTAGTTCAACATCTTAACCACTACACCACAATGACACTGTGTCAGTAATAAATATATGTTTTAAAATGTTACCACTAAAATGTAACTGTGATGGACATTCCGTTTTTCCCATCCTAACACATAAGGTTTCAAGATATAATCTTGAAAATATCTATAATCCTAATTTTGACTTTATAGAAAATCACATCTTTGTCATCCGGCTTTACACTGCCAGCAGACTGGGCAGATAAAATAAAGACAGTATGATACACTGGAAAATATTGGATGAATTAGAAATATGAGTGCGAGTGTGTGTGTAGGTGTGTGTATGTGCTATTTTATATTACTGTACTGCCAATTTAGCCCCACAGCATACCTTTAGAGAGGGAGTGTGATAAGAGAAAATTAGCACCCACAGGTAAATATGCACGGAGATCAGCTCACTTCCCTTTTCAAAGTCTACACAGTACTATCCAATGATATCACTACCATGGATGAATCTAACCTGGAGCTCTCTTCAAGAGTGGAATAGAAAGTGGCCATTCTGTGACCTACCTCTTTCTTTGAGAGTCAACCAGCACTGCCCCAGGATGCATACAATCAAGCAACCCATTAGAATGCCAACCCTACCAACAGTAAAACAGAAAGAACCTGGACTTCTCTCAGAAATACAAGCTAGTAAATCTCAAAAGGGCCATAAAAATCAAAATAGAGGCTTTTTTTCTCCACAAAGTAGTCACCTGTGGTATCATCTTGCAAACCTACATCAAAAGCCAATTTATCCATTGATGTTCGTGATGTGGAGAGACAACACAGATACTAAGAAAAAAGAAAGAAAGAAGCGTCTTAGTGTTTTAAATAATATAATTTCTATTATATTCCATTATATGGAGGGAGCTCACATACAATCACATATAATCAGCTGCAAAATTTTAAATACATACACACACACACACACAAATACACAGAAAACATATAGACACACACACACATACTCTGTGTATACATTTCTACTGCATAAGCATTAACTAAAATTAGACGCAAATAGCTGTAAGGCAAGATACTTTTACATAAAATGTCTATATTTCTTATCATCACACTTCAACATTCCAAAAATGAAATATTATAAAGAAATAAGATATTTGGATCTTGGAAAATATGGAATAAGGACAAAAAACAAATTTACCAAATTAGCTACCAAAACTCTATATTTTAGATGGAGTACACAGATAGGGAAAATACAGTATCAAGCAGAACAAACATGATTTTGGAGGCAATCTATTCAATATCATATTGAATAAATATTAAACAAAGTGTCCAAAAAGTGTATATCGTTGCAATGTAGCCATAATCTAAGCCTAGTGTTGAATTGTATTGATCCTGATACATAAAAAAGAAACATACCAATACTACCATATAAATACTGTGGATAAGGTTATACATACCATGCCACTGTAAGAATGGCGCAGTAATATTGCATGTCCATAGAGGAGAGTTCTATGACCACCACCTTGAGCAGTCTATATGAATTAAAAGAACAATTAGTATACATGTTGGCATAAAGCTGTTTCTTTCAGTTTAGAGAAAAAAATGATTTGTCCAATTTTTACATTCTCACTAACAATATCAGTGGCCAAACCATAGAGCTGACTCTGCAAACAATAATCCCCCTAAATTATAGATTGGAATGACAACCAGAGCTCCAAATATGACCATCAGATCATCAGTCCCCAGAGTAGTCTAGAGTAGGTGGAGGCAAAAATCCAGCCTTTTTGGGAAAATATTTCAGCAAATGAGTATTTTAATCCTGACTGACAGTGCTTAATAACCCTAACCCTAACCCGTGGTGGCCTGCTAGCAGCTGGCAGAACTAGCAACAGAATCGGACAGTGAGGAGGTTGCAGAGGAACTTGGGCCAGTCCTGAAGGCTGAGAAAGATTTGGACTGATCTGCGTCAGAGGTAGAGATGGGGCCAGGGCAGGCTGGCAGTCATCAGCTACCTTCTGGATCAGACAGCAATGAGGTGAGGGAGCAGCTGGAACAGCAGCCTGCGCATACGCAGAGTTGCCAAAAGGAAAGAATTACAAACTCAGGATCGACATGGGAGTAAGGCCACAGGTGGATGATGAATGGACCCTCCCATAAGGATTAAAAGAGGAGCAAAAAAGGAGGGGGCTTTTGCAGGAAACAATTCATTCATTCGTTCCATCATTCTGAAGACCTGTCTGTGCATTCTAGAGACACTGTGCTAAGCCCTTCCTTGTCAGGACTATGTTTGGAAATATTTATTGGGCAGCTTTCCAAGATAGATAAGGTTTGAGCTCCTAATTATACCCTTGAAAGACTGTTTGCCGGGCCGTTGGCTGAATGTGAATGCAAGAAATTCACATTCCTTTAATAGGAGTTTGGTCAGGATAAAGAGTTTGCTTAGTGCTTTTGGGGGAAGTCTAGGACAAAACAATAACCAATAAAAGCAATGTTCTCTAAAAACTGAATAATCTGTTGCAGAATATCTAAAGAGGTTCTCTGCTGAGCCAAAAATAAACCTGTTTAATTTATTCTCACTCCTGATTTTTTTCCCATGATATACCACTCCTACTGCATTCAGCAATCAATCTTCAGTACTTGCATCAGACACTTTTTCTTAATAAATGTACAATAAATTTCCCTTCTCATGGTTGATACATTTCTCAGATGTACTGATTAGCAAAAGTTTGCTCTACTCTGCCCCAATTTAGCTCACTGGTGCTCCTCATTTTCTTTCAATCAGAATTCTACCAAATTCCTCACATAGAGTAAAGCGGGGGTCGCCAACCTTTTGGACCTCAGGGACCACCAAACTCATAATTTTAGATCCCAGGGACCACTAACCGGTTCTGTGGACATGGCCTAATTTGTGGGTGTGGTTTGGTGGTCATGTGACTGGCTGGGCATGGCTTGTATGTAAATATTATAAATATTTATATAAATATTGAATATTTTATAAAAAGAGCAACTTTTACCCAAAATCAGGCAAAGCAGGCAGGCAGATTGAATTGCTCACAGAATCACAGATTCATTCAGAGATCTATCTATCTGCCATTGGCTAGCTCAGTCTGTCACATAAAATTTGCTTGTAAGCAAACTCATAAAATTTGCTTGCAAGCAAACTCACAAAATTAACTCACAACACACCATGCATGTAAGTATTGATTTTTTTTATTTAAAAAAAGAGCAACTTTTACCCAAAATCAGGCAAAGCAGGCAGATTGAGTTGCTCACAGAATCATTCAATGATCTATATATCTGCCATCAGCTAGCTCAGTCTCTCAAATTTGCTTGCCGTGAGTCTGCACTGAATTTGCTTGCAAACCTGCAGTCCTAAGGGAGGTTCAGCTGTGCTGAGCCAAAGATCTAAATCCAACTATTTCCTGCTTCCTAGCTAATCTAAATCTCCTGGCACAGCAGAACAAATGATGGTTGGAAAAAGGAAAAATAGCAATTTAGCAGGCAAGTTTACCGGGTAAGGAGTGAGTGGGCGGGTAGGGTTCCCGGGGACCATGTGGGTGGCACAGCCTTGTGTTTCTGCGCAACCTGGATCAATTGCTTTGGGGGGGTGCTCTGGGGGTGAAATTTCTCTGCAGCCTACCAAAATTTTCTCACAGCCCACCAGCCGGCCACGGCCCACCATAGGCGACCACTGGAGTAGAGGAATCTTCCTATAGTTTTTTAATTCCCTCTTTTTGGGGGGGAATTATAACAGAATTCTTCTAATTTTCACACCCAGATGCAGTTTTCATAAACACATAAAGGAAAAACAAACCGCATGCAGTTATACCATTTATAGCTGCAGCCTTAACATGTTTTAAACATAGAGTACAAGTAATTCTCACTCCAAGAATCATAAGATTATTATATTTTTATATCTGTGCTGATTACTAGTTGCTTAGTGAGCACAATTGAAAATGTTAGCTATTCATCTTAAAGTCTTCAACAAATTAGGATGACTATTAGAACAACTTCAAAATATATGTGAAATCTTTTAGTATTAGTTTGTGATCCAATGAAAATGAAAGAACTTTTTTGTAGCGTCCATTAAGTGGTCAGAATGTTTCCTCAGAATTACATCTAGAACACACTCTTCTTGACTTTTATCGTATTTATAACTATTTCCTGAATAATTTGTTTTTTAACTTCTATTTCATAGTCTGTATTTCAACTATTACTATGGTAGTTACATAGGATGCCTGATCAAATAGAAAAGCAAGAAATTAAATGTTACCCACTATGTATTTATTCGCTGTCTTTATAAACATGGTCTCTTGGCAATTTGCAATATAGAAACAGAATAATTATAAGACTATCTTAAAATCTCAAACGGTATGATTAAAATCAATACTAATAGGCAAGTAAATGGCATATCTTATCTAAATGCTCTTTGGAAAGACTCAGTTTTAAAGTTTTTTTTTTAAAGATCTTGGCAAGAAACACTAGGTTTAAGTGAAGTGATAACACTGGTAAGGGAAACATGCTTCAACCAATGTTCATCCAGAATCAGAATAATATGGGACAAAACAACTCAAATCTAGATTAATTTTCCTTAGGTGAGATTATACTGTTAGGAATGTAAGTCACCTAACAGTTATTTGGGTTGGAAATATATAAACTAGGATAGACATTTTAATACTATGTCTTTAAGAAAATGCAAAAACTGTAATTGGGTATGGTTTCTCAAACGGCCATAAGATGGAGCCAGAAACCTGGGTTGTTTAGTCTCAGTGAGTCTCTGTTCATTCTGTTGGAGAGAGTTGCCATCCCTCCTAAATGGTTGTTACTGATCGTTGATGTAAGTCTGTTACTGAACTATTTTTTGATAGTGGACTTTGATATTTGGATTATCCCTGAACTGAACACTGGCTGCCTTACCTGTGAATGACTTGGACTGCTTATCTTGGACTGTGCTTAAATGTTTATTGGAAGTAAAAACTACATTTACTGTGTGCTGTTTGTGTGTTATTCTTCACCACTCTCAATACATCTCCCTGTATGCGCTCATTCTCCTAACGGGGAATTATCTCAACATATACGTCATGATCTAACTCATAACTGATATAAGATTTCTTGTTCTAGAAATTTGTATTCATGTACAGTTTGTCATATTCCCCAGAATTGTAGTACATGATGCCCGTTTGTGAAATCGAAAATCATGTTTACAATTTCATGTCTTCACTGTTAATATAAACACTTAAATCAGTTATAATCACAGGTAGTGAATGTAGAGAACACCCTTGAAGGTCAGAGGGAAAAACTGTTTCCAAGGTAATAAGCAGCTAAATGAGCCCTAAGCCCAGTCCAAGAACAAAGTTTACAAAAATGCCTCAGACAGCTAATTCACAAGAAGTTAAAAGAAAGAAGAAGGGAAGCACATTAAGATATACAGGATTCTGTTATTATAGCTGTTCCAGTAGGAATAGCTTTAGATCTTCATGGTGCCTGTTTCTTAATGTGGTCTAACTTATAGGGCTGACATCATATCTGAGTTAAATATATGTCTTCTTGACTTTGATGAGTTTAAAATGCATACCTTTAAGGCATAGTTAGTCTAGAATAAATTGCTACACTGTTGTTAAACATAATCTTTTTTTTTTTGCTATATAAACGTATTGTCCAGAGACTTCTCTTAAGCACAAATGATCTTGTAAATCTTAAGTGTAAATGATCTTGTAAATCTTGTTAAGTGTCTCTACATCATAGATTAAGATACCACTCCTTATCTATTAGGAATGTGCATGTAATGTTGTTATAATATAGTATGTATACAGAAGCTTGTTGGAATGAACTGAAATAATTCTTTTCAAGCTTACCTTCATCATAAATTTCTGAAGCACCATTAAAAAGAGAAAGAAAAAAATAATTATACATTGTAGTCAGTCTGCATTTTTATATAATATTTGTTTTCCCTATACCAAAAGTTTGAGAAAATTATTTATTACATTTACATTAATATCATTATGTAGAAAATAAAAAAATAAATTATGTGCATTTGTAAAAAATTAATAGGTGTGATACTGAAAAAATATTTTTATGAGAAAACAATTCTGAAATAATGTATGCATTTTATTTATGCAGCTTTCCAGTGAAACTGCATTAATCTTTTCTAAACAGTTCATAAAAATAAAATATTTTTAATTCTCTACTGTGTAGTATTGATTTCAATGTTATGGAGGTTCTAAATAACAACAAAGTAAAAATGTCATAACAAAACAGAATACCAATCTTATAAATTAGCTTACTTCAAAATACATTATTGACAATGTTTATAGTTGCCACACTAGGAAGCATGCCCTGTAAGTGCCTGTAACAATCTGTGATCCACTAAAATGCTACCCTATCACCATTATAAGTCTGGCATTCAATTGGAATGTTAATTGGAAATGATAAATTGATATGTGATGCTGATCATAGATTCTACTGGCAGAAAAGTAGGATATTGTATCCTAATTATTGGTAGTACTACTGTAGTATTTTGATTATCTAATATATCTTAAGACACAGATATATTTGAGTGTGCTAGAAAACATGAACAATTAAATTTGCCATAACATTCATATTTTAAAATGGGATTGTTGTAACAAGTTGCCCAGGAAAAGATGCAGCTGCTTTAAGGAGGGGGAGGGAGGGAAGGGAGGAGGGAGGGGTATTGCGCAGCTCCAATAATTAATGATGGACATGCTTCACTCAGAGGTAAGTGGCATTTATCTGCAATTATAGCCCATAACTCCCAACAAGTCTGACACAGTTCCATTTAGCACAGGCAATCACCCAACTGCATTAACACAGTTAATTCTGGTAATTGCCACGGTTCTGTTGTACTTTCCAAAGTTCTTTTACAACAGAACCATATCTGGGATTCCCCCCCCCCCCGCCCCTTTCCATTTCAGCTGCTGCTTCTGTGGAACTACAGGTATTGATGGAAATGATGTTATTCACCTTCTCTCTGTGATGGATGTGCTGCTGTTGCTCATGGAGAGGCAATAGACTTGTATTTTATCAAGAAAAATTGAGTGGTGGCCAAAGGGGATGGATTATATGACGCAATCAATCTAACACTACTCCAATGCCCTGCAATACAGTAGGGGGCAAAGAGGTGGGTTTGGAGACGGAGAAATCAATCTAACCTAATGCAGAACCAACAGACTGTCTGTTTACTAGCCACAGGGATTCCTTGGAGCTTTGTGTGCAGGAAGATATAATAGCTGAGCTATGTCTGGGGGTTTCTTTAATACATCTTTCTTAATCATATTAAGATTATTAACCGATCAGAAAAAGAAAAAAAAACCAATAGAAAGATGGAGTTCAAGACAGCTTGATCTGCAATTTTTCCAAATCAAAAATTAAAAATTTCCAATAGATCAAATTGGTGTTAAAAATGAAGAAAAATTTGCACAAAAGCTGGCAAATATAGATTCAGCACAAAAGTAGAATAATAATATATATCTCTGCTTAAGTATAAGTGAGACTTTCTCAGACAAGAAAGAGAGAAACCTAATGGGAGTTAAATTCTATTTAATCCAACAGCACTTATTACAGCACACATAGGATTACTGCAGTCTCATTTCCTGCAATTAGTGGAACTATCTTGGAAATAAATACATTTCAAATCCCCTTTAAATTTGTGGTAAAGTATTTCCTTAAAGTATTTAGTATCATTACCATTATATGAATTAACAATTCCATTTGTTTTGTATATTATGAAAAGTATAACTTGAATTTACTCCATGAGACTTTTTAGAGTCAATGTCAATAAATACAACTAATCACTCTGACTCATACCCTGACCAAAATTTGTTATCTATCTATCTATCTATCTATCTATCTATCTTTCTATCTCAAACACCTACTGGATATGGTACAGATAGTCCTCGAGTTACGACCACACAAAATTTATATTGGTAAAACATTTGTTAAGTGAGTTTGCCCCATTTTACAAATTTTCTTGCCACAGTTGTTAAGTGCATTTGTTAAGTTAGTAACGTGGTTGTTAAGTGAATCTGGATTTCCCTTGATCTTGCTTGTCAGAAGGTCACAAAAGCTGGTCACATGACCCTGGGACACTGCAGCCATCATAAATATGAACCAGTTGCCAAGCATCTGAATTTTGATCATGTGACCATGGAGATGCTGTAACAATCATAAGTGTAAAAAACAGTCATAAGTCACTTTTCTCAGTGCCATTGTAACTTTGAATGAACAATTGTAAGTCGAGGACTATCTATATTACATTTATTGATTGACTGGTTCAAGAAAATTAAAGAAAACGTAGGCATATCAAGTGCTTATTTTATTCAGTCTCCTGAAACAAAAGACTACATGTTCTGCCAGAATTGTGAATGACAGGACTGAATCAATAAAAACATGATATAAAAATACTTGGAAAGGATTTAAGATTTCAGGACCAGATGAACTGCATCTTAGAGTTCAGAAAGAACTATGTGATGTTCTGGATTTTTCTTTTTATAAAAAAGAAATGCCTTCATGTAAGTGTTGATTCCTGGCAACAGCCTGGACAACTCCCTGAAGCTTTCTTGGCAAAGTTTTTTAGAAATGGTTTGCCATTGCCTTTAACTGAGCTTATTAAGGAAGGGCTGGGCCACTGAGCTACAGTTACATACACAAAAAGCCAGATAACATTTGGTTTTAAGACTAAGCCTGTTAGACAAACAACATAAGGACAAAAGGGTAGACAAGTTCTCCTTTTGCTGGACATCTGGCAACCTTCATTTAGCACGTTTAACCTTAAGAAAGATTTGTGAGAGGGAACTGAAAGAAATTCTCATAAAAATTGAGTCAGTCTCCCTTATTTCCAAGTACAGGCTAAATAATGATCGATATAAGTTACAGGAAGACAGATTCCAATCAAAAACCTCATGTTCTTCTAACTATCAGAACAATTCAACAATGGAGTCAGTTAGCCAGAGGTGATGTGCTTGGATGTGTTTTCAAGTAGCATGGGGATGATACAACTGATGTGATCCAAAGCAGAAAAAGTGCTTTAAATTCAGGGTTGTAAACTTTTTGTGACTCAAGGAAAATGTATTTCAGTTAAGGAGGCCTACACCTCCATGTGCAACTACCATATGAGCTAAGGTGAAAACACATCTTTTTAAAAAGTTGCTGTCACATATAGCAAATCCTCATATTTCGTCTGAAACACCATCTGTCTTTAGATCAAAATAGTTCCAGAATCCTAAAGCAAAAGCTGGATAGTTACTTGTCTGGGTGTTTTAATTTTGATTCCTACGCCGAGCAGAGAGTTGGCCTTTCCAACACTTTAATTCTATTGTACTACTAGAATTCTTTCTTCAAAACAAAATGTTAAGTGAGCAGACTCACTTTAAGTATATGAATAATATTTTAGTCAATAATTTTGGTGACATTTCTAATAAAGATTAGAATATAGCTCTTTCATAAATTCAAATAAAAAGGTAATTGCAAGGATGCAATACACAAAACAATTGTAATTTATTGTAATATAGACATCCCAGGCAAGATGTTTAATCCACACAATTAGTAATAAAAATTAAAACTATGCAGACTTGGAGATTTCAATCAGATTTACCTGGTAGTTTTTAAAAACTGCCAACACATGAATGTACATAATAAGAATTATATATTTTCTTTTTTCTTATATATTTATAATTCTATATATGTTATTTTACATTGGTATTATATGTGCATAAAACATATAAATAGTATATTTTCAAAGATTTCCAAAGCAAAACTTACAATTTTTTTTATATTTTAAATGAATTCACATACTGAACTCTTAAGGTTTTTTAATGTCTTAAAATAAGCATGTATTTAGATTCAAAATTAAGAGAAATCTGGAACCGTCTATGTATATTGCGTACAATTACTGGAAAATTATCATTGTATTGAACAATTCCATGTATTCTGAATTTGGTGAATAAAGCAAATCTTTAATATCATATATGAAAGTTTATGACATCACATGCATTATTTCATTATGATGTACATTTAATAAGATATCATACAGACTATACATTTAAAGGCTGTACTTAACAAAGCTCAAAATTCTAAGTATAATTTATTTTATTGCAGGAATAATATTCTGTATTGTTTAATAGGATAAGAAACACTTATGGATGCACCAGTACTAGCCAGCATTTTAAAAGTCTTTTCCCAAAAATAAGTCTGTTTTGAGCTTAGCAAAGCATTCTTGTGATACATGGAGGATTCAGAATAATGTGGAAATTTGACTTTCTAATAAACGAGGATTATATTGCATCAAGAGAGTCAAAAACACATACCCATTTTTCCACATCAACTAGCTGTAGAAAGAAAAAAATGAATATTGTTACTACAATTATATTTTGTAATATAGTTCCCACAATTTGATATAAAAATCTTTGTTACCATAATTATTTTAACGCTTTCTTAAAAAACTAAAATTTCCAGGCTATTGTACTGATAAAGATATATTCTAAAGACAACTTTAACAAATATTATACTGAAAGATAAAACTGATCCTACCTTCAATTTCAGTCATATAGGCATAATACGAAGGGGGAAAGTAAAATGAAAGAGAAGCAAATATAAATTTAAGTTTTAATATATTTAAAATGAAATGGATATTATGATGTATTTATTATTTAATTCATCAGGAAAAAATACATTTCATGCAATATGTACATGCAATGTCCAATAACTTCATAGCTTAACATTTTACCACTTGTAGATGGATACTGTAACATAATAGAATGGAGCACTTTGAATGCTGTATGTTTTATGTAAAACGTTAAACTCTCCTGGCTGTCATAAAAAATGCCATGGTTTTTAAACAATTCTCACTCCTTGCTGTTTTTTTCAAACAGTTAAGAATATGTGCATTCAAAGAAAATGAGAGATGAAATTTCTTGAAGCTATAGTAATACAACCTACTTTACATTAGAAAGCACAAAGACATACTTAAAACAGAGCATTCAAGGTGCTGCTGTTCTTTTTCCCACTGTTACCACTTCAGATCCCACACCGAGATCTCTTTCACAGCATGATTTAGATGTTATTGTGAGTTTCACAAACTTAAATTAATTGCATGGAAAATCTGGAGCTTCCATGTGACAATAAAATCCTTGAATCAAATTCCCTAGCTGTAAAATTTTTATATATAGCCTGGAGAAAAAAAAGCTGCATTTGTTCAGAATCATAATTTGAAGTAGTTTTTAGAACAACAGGAAGGAATCATGACTCTGTGACTGAGCAGAGATGGTACCTACCAACTTCAATTTAAAAAGTAGGCATCAAATAGTGGACCCAATAGGATATTGATAACATTAAAATAGCTACACAATTAATCTAACTATATAAGGCTATTCTTATGCATTATTTCCTACAGCATTAATGGAACTGAACTCTTCCCTTTCACAATTCTTTTTTTCTCTATAAGTTATCATAGTAACCAGGAATACCAATAAGACTTGTTTGTAATTATTTGAGGAAAACATACATTAATACATACGGGCATTATATTTGTCAACAAGGCAATTAGGGCAACAGTCAGGGCCACCAGAAGTGCACAGTGTGATATGCTTGCTAATTTGGACCTTTTTCAAATGTAATTTCTATGCCAGTAAAACAAGTGCAAAGTGGGAAGAAACTATAGACACTATCCAGTACACTAACAGGGAAGATTACAGTCATATAATAATGTGCTGGCAAATGTAGAATGTGTTATGATCATTGACTAAATTCCTTGTCCATCTCTCCATATACTCTAGGATTTCTAAACAAACATCTAAGTGTAGTCAACCTCACAGGAGTATAAGGATTGTTAATAAGAGAGGGGATAAACCTACCCCACATAAATTACCTTGAAGAAAATGAGATAATTATGCAAAAATAATAGGAAATATAAGATGTATGAGGAAAAGGCTTTTCTACTCTTTAGAGCAGTTAAATTACATTACTTTTACCCTATTTAATTCTGATAGACAGAACAAACACTGGAGGGGGAATTGGATTGACTAGGATACAAACTAAAATGGAAATTACCCATAATAATTTTGAACAGTTTTTACCCCTTCCCCTCTATTAGCTGACAACACGTGGCCAAAAAACCCATAAAAAACTCCTTCATAGTCACATAAGGCAGAAAAGACAATACAGCCAGCCAAGAAAAGCAGACAGACTAGCTTGCAGAAGGATTTATACATGCACCAATATTAAGGAAAACTCTGCATTCAGTTTCTACCAATTCTTTTTACCCAGAACAGTTTTTTAATCATCTTGGGCTCATTCAAAACCAAACCACTTCAGAATGTTTTGCATTACAATAGATACTTCCCAGAAAAATACTGCTAGAAAAATCCATGTGCTCTGCCCTAGCTAAAGATTGCAGCAAAATGCAGAGGGATTTTGAAGGCAATGCAGATGATGTCATTATTCCTGCTGTTTAAAAAAAAAAATTCCTAGCACTGTGCCTGTGAATACAAGATTTGTATCCAAGTCAATAAATGTTGGGAAGTGTCCTTTTCCCCACAAGAGGCTAATTTAATGTGATCTCCCTTTAATTATTTAACTTTCTTAATGTAGCTTTCAACTAGGTTTCACAACAGTTAGAAACAGTATTATAAAAGGGATAATTCAAAAGTGATTCCTTTTGAATAAAATGTAAGTTATATGCCTGATTCTGGATCCAATCACAGAGGAACAAATACTTCAAAGCAATTATGGATACCAAAATGTATTTCTATAATTATATCAGACGAGTTTGCACAAGCCTATTACACAATCATTTCCAATTATAGTCTCACCAAAATGCTTTAAACAAAAATGATTTAGCTTAAAGAAGAAGGAAAAGAGAGGTGAGAGACTGATGGTTTCTATCATACAGTTGTTCATGCAAAATGCTAGGAAACAGCAAAGTATAAGGCTTTAAGCACCACGTGTTTTTCAAGCAACTGGGGCAATCCACTTTTGGTAAAATTTTGGTAAAAATTGTGCACACAGGAAAGGAGATACAAATTTTGTAAACAGAATTGGGCCAAAATATTACCATGTCCTAAGTCCATACTCTTGGTGATAAAATTACAAATAGTTCAAAAAGCTGTGGGCCACAACTTGCAATCTAAATAAATAATAATACCAAAAAGCAAAACTAAGGAGTAACCAGGTTAAAAGTTCATATCCAAAATCCCATTATTTTATTACCTTATAAAAGGATTAATTTTTGTTCTCTTTTTTTTTTCAAGCACTAGAATCCTTTTTTTCCCCTTTCCTTTCTGAATTGATTTGACCACAAAAGCTTTAATGGAATTTTGCAATCTCTTTATTTCAATACAGCTTTGGTGGAAATTTAATAATTTAAGTCTTAACCAAGATCCTAAGAATTAGGCAATTTTTATTATTATTAATAATAATAATAAAGATATAATATTGCAAAAGCTGCCCTATAGAATTGATTTAGATCTCCTTGGGCAAAATCTGAATGTTACAAAAAACTATTATTTATCCTTAATTCCAAATGTCATTCCACTTGTAACATATCACAACTTACCCCTTCTGCTTTCTCCTCTGTGTTAGCCAGCATTTCTTGGAGAGCTCTGACTGACAATGATTGCTCCAGAACAAAAGTACAGATGGAGAGATCCGGAGGAACATTCTAATTGAAAGAAAGAAATTATGAAAAGAGCATTGAGCAAGGCATTATCCTGATACTTTTATCACAATCCTTTGTATCTGAAGTCTTCAGTGTACATGGAAATAACTACTTTGCAGTCCCCAGCTCTTTCTACTCTGTGTACATGTATGTATTCATTAATTAAATATATGTATAAAATATATGAAGCTAATAAACTACAGAGCACTAATATTCAGAATAATGTAAGAATGTCTCTGGGCTCCAGATCAGCCTCATAAGCTTCCTTTAAAAAATAGAAATACACCCACCATCCCAGGAAAAAGACTAATGTGTATTACAGAGTGTCCTCGCAAAGTAATGGCTAATAGGATTTTACTTAGATAAACTAATGATTTATGACTTCTTAAATCATCAATGACTGCTAAGTAAAAGAGATTACAATATCTCCTTAGAACAGAGGTCTCATTCTCGCGGCCCACGGGCCAATTGCGACCCGCAGGACGATATCCTGTGGCCCCCACCATGATATGAAAGTATAATATTAGTGAGGCCCGCAGGGGGAATGGACCTCTGAAGGAAGTCCCGCCCGCCGTTCCTCGTCATGGCTGACATTCAGTGCTAGGCTAAGCACACTAGGCTTTGTAACAACAGTGTGGCAGATGACGAACAGTCCGGTAGCAGTCGCCTTTTTTTGCAGTCGCCATTCCGGTACTTTCTACCATCAACAAATGCTACGATCAAACACAGAGAAAGGCGACTGCTACTGGACTGTTCGTCATCCGTCACACTGTTGTGACAAGTAGAAGCGGAAATGACATCACGCATCGAGACGTTCTCCATGCATCGCTAGCTGGCTAAACACTTCTATAAAATGTGGAACAAGAGTGACGCCAAGTGGAATAAAGTAAATTTTGTCACACCCTCATCATGTCTTTGTCAAAGCCAAAGCCTGCAGTGAAGAGAAAGATAGGTGACAAGCACAGACAATTTCAGCAAAGGTGGGAGACGCAGTATTTCTTTGTTGAGCACAGGAGCATCCCGACATGCCTTATTTGCGCTGAAAAAGTTGCAGTGCACAAGGAATACAACCTGAAACGTCATTATTCAACTAAACATGCTGAGGAATGTGCAAAATATTAGGGGGATGAGAGAGCCAACCAGGTTGTCAGCCTTAAAACATGTCTAGTGAGGCAACAAGATTTCTTCAAGAAAGCAACCAAAGAGAATGCTGCAGCAGTCAAAGCTAGCTATACGGTTAGTGAGATGATTGCTAAGGCAGGAAAACCATTCACAGAGGGCGAGTTTGTAAAAAAAATGCATATTACAGGCTGCAAGTATAGTTTGTCCGGAAAAGAAAAGTCAGTTCAGCAACATCAGCCTTTCTGCCAACACAGTGCCAGAGCGCATTTCTGACCTGTCAAATGACATTTATCATCAACTGTGTGAGAAAGCCAGATGTTTTGATGCATATTCAGTTGCTCTTGATGAGAGCACAGACATAACTGACACTGCTCAGCTCACAATTTATGTCCGTAGTGTTGATCGCAATTTTGAAGTGACAGAGGAGTTGCTCAGAGTAATTCCAATGCATGGCCAGACCACCTTCTTCTTCTTCTTTTTCTTCAGCGTTTGTCTCGCGCTCGGGCGAGGTCCGCTAATGTCCTTGAGTACTGCTTCCACACCTCTCTGTCTGCCACGTGTGTCGGGTCTGCCTTCGCGATCTCTAGATCGGCCTTGATCGTGTCCATCCAGCGTTGTTTAGGTCTACCACGTGGTCTCGCTCCTCCGACAGTCACCTTCATTACAGATTTGATGATGGATTCTTCCTTGGCGCGGCTCACGTGGCCGAACCATCGTAGCCGGGACTGCCTCATGACCGTGGGGATGGGCACGACGTTGAACCGTCTGCGCACTTCTTCGTTCCTGACGCGATCGAGTAGGGTGAGGCCTACCGACCATCGGAGCATTCGCATCTCCATTATCTGGAGTCTGCTTTCGACTTCTTTGGTCGTCGGCCAGCACTCTGCGCCGTATATGGCCACGGGGCGCACCACAGAGTTATAGATTTTCGCCTTCAGGCGCATCGGCATCTTCTTGTCACAGAGGACGCCCGTGACGGACTTCCATTTGCCCCACACATGGCCAGACCACCACTCATGAGATATTTCCCCAGCTGTGTGATGCCATTGAGAATGCCGGTTTGCCATGGAATAGGTTTGTTGGAATAACAACCGACGGAGTGCCATCAATGACGGGGAGGAAAAATGGACTGGTGGCACTTGTTCAGAGAAAACTTGAGGAGGGTGTAGAAGAGGCTATTGCTCTGCACTGCATTATCCATCAGCAGGCCCTTTGCAGCAAATGCCTGAAGTGTGACAACGTGATATCTGTTGTTGTGAAATGCATCAACCACATCAGATCTAGGGGCTTAAAGCACAGGAGGTTCCGTGCTTTTTTAGAGGAAATGGAATCAGAATATGAAGATGTGCTCTATTTCACCGAGGTACGTTGGTTCAGCAGTGGAAATGTCTTGAAAAGATTTTTGGAACTGAGAGAAGAAGTGAAAGCCTTCATGGAGAAGGATGGGATGGCTGTTCCCAAGTGAATGATCAGAAATGGCTCATGGACTTAGCTTTTCTTGTCAACATCACACGTGAGCTAAATGTACTGAATAAGAAGTTACAAGGCCAGGGGCAGCTTGTCAGTGCTGCCTATGACAACATGAGAGCATTCTCCACAAAACTTGTGTTATGGAAAGCCCAGCTCTCTCAGACAAACCTTTGCCATTTCCCAGCATGCAAGGCACTTGTGGATGCAGGCACACCATTCAGTGGTGAGAAGTATGTTGATTCTATTTTGAAGCTACAGAAGGAATTTGATCACAGATTTGCAGACTTCAAGACGCACAGAGCCACTTTTCAAATTTTTGCAGACCCCTTCACCTCTGATGTGCAAGATGCCCCTCCTGTGCTTCAAATGGAGCTTATTAACCTGCAATGCAACTCTGACCTCAAGGCCAAATTTAGGGAGGTGAATGGAAAAGCAGACAAGCATGGGTAAGTTTTGAGAGAATTGCCTCCCAGCTTCCCTGAGCTTTCCCGAATGTTCAAGTGGACCATGTGCCTTTTTGGGAGCACATATTTGTGTGAAAAGTTCTTCTCCACCCTGAACTTTAACAAGTCCAAGTACAGGTCCAGACTTACTGATGATCATCTTCAAGCCATACTGAGAGTCTCAAGTACCTCCTCTCTCAAGCCAAATGTTGCTCAGATATGTGAGAGGAAGTGTTGTCAAGTCTCTGGCAGCAAGGAGTAAGCTAGAGAAGCCATGTTCTGAGGAACTGTTCATGATCTTCATTCAATGTTCCATTTATGTGTTCAGGACAGTTCATGTATTGGAGAAATCATTAACTGTTGATGACATTTGAGGATATTTTTTTTAACAATGTTTTTTGTGGAATCCCTTATGCGGCCCAGCCTCACCTAGACTCTGCCTCCAGTGGCCCCCATGTAAATTGTGTTTGAGACCCCTGCCTTAGAATAACAAATCAGTCCACTAACCCCCCCAAATCTGAAGAACTTTTGATATTAATAGGAGTTATTCCTAGATGTGCATAAGATTTCAACTACAAACATTATAAGAAATAATCTCTGATTTCAAACAGACATTGCTCCACAGTTTATGTGTTAGGCTGACTATTATCACTGATCAAATTCAAAAACTGAGAAATATAAAGGGAGACAAGAAAACATGTCAACCTTTCTAATCAATTTAAAGTGGAAAATTCACATTAATAAGCATAGAAAATCTCTTATCCTGCTTGAGAAAAAGGATGAAATTCAAACTTCAACTATTTCATTATTTTACATACAACCTGTGCTCCATCAATCAATTCCTTTCATTAAAATGTTCAGAAGGGTATGCACTATAGACATGCAAGGCTTTAAATATGCACAATTTACCAGGCAGTTCCCCTATCCAGCATCCTAATGTATATGTTTCACTGGGAATAGCCTGACATGAGAAATTTTATTTATTTATTTATGAAATGTATTTGCTGCCCATCTTGTATCCAATAACTCTTTATTAATTTGTCCCCACTTTATGTCTTTAACTGGGTATCACATGGTCAGTACTAGTAAGTAAATGTCAGATCTTCTCACAGGTGGCTGAACCTGGCCAACTATGTCAGGGCCTAGAAGCAAAGCAAATTTGGAGAGAGAAACAACTTTTCTAGGCTGTAGACTAGAAAGAATCCAAGTGGTAGCAAGCATCTTCCATATAGCTACCATGAAAATATAATGGAAGTATTCATGCAGTCACCAGGAGTCCAGCTAGATTCAAGGAGACTTTATATCAAAACAGATATTCAGAATTATATACAGTACAATCATGTTTATATACTTTTTTCATCATAACAACAGTGAAAAATAGTGTAGTTTTTAACAAGATAAGTAACAAACAACAAATAGTATAAAATAAAAACTTTTCAGAATATAAAAGAAATGGGATTTTAAAGTAAAAACAAATATTTAAATAACAAAAGTACAAAATGTTCAAAAAAACCCTCATCAAAATCCAGTGACTGCTTTTCATCAAAATGGCAAAACCAGTTGAATAAACAATCCCATAACTAACCCAAATTGCCAATATAAAATAAAAAATCTTTTGCTTTTAAAAATTTTTCCTAAAGGAACTGACTTCAAAACTTAAGCGACAGGATCCTTTACTTCCTTGTTTATGTCAGGCAATGGTGGTATGCTACTTGTTTGGCCTGGTTCAACTGAACCGGTAGCTCTGAGGATCATCTGAGAGCAAACTGCATAATTATCTGCATAATTACAAAAACATGAATATTGTCCATCTCTGTCACTTAGCTTTATATTCTCTCAATCCCAGGGACAATGGAGCTGCCACCACAATTTTCAAGTCGCTTAAACTCATTCTGAAAGGAAACTTATAGCTCATTCCTCCTTCTCTTTGTTCTTCCTGTACTTCAGACCACTGCAATCTGGTGGGGT